ATTTGAAGTTTTCACAAGTGATGCTGGGATGGCTTTCTCATCATGAGTTAAAAACACTTCCTGAATGATAATAGCCACCAAAGATATGACATTTTGTCATTTTCAAATGTCCCCTGCTTTTTGTGTGTGAGTGTGTGTGTGTGTGTGTGTGTGTAATTTGTGGGAGAGTGGGGGTGGGGTCATTTTATGCCGTGACTTATCTGTAATTCTTAACTATTTAGAGGAAGTATCTGCCATGCCCTCTTCCTTCCCAGAGCTCAATGAACTGACTCTGGGTGTGTTTGAAAAAACTATGAAACTAAGAAAAAGTGCAACGAACAACTTTATTCAAAGGTTTGCTGACATGAAATCTACTCCTAGATAAAACTGAATGGTGTGACATTTGTCGTGCTTCTTTTCTGTATATGTAAATTTGGTTGATCTGCATGTCTCTTTTCAATAGAGAACGAGACCTCTATTAACCATTGGTCAAACTATCAATAACAGATTCTGAGGATGTTTAAAAATGTAACAATAACTTCAGTGTATGTTTGATAAACCTATGAACGATTAATTAAAAGTTTCTTTTTTTGAGGCCATATTCTTTTGAGCCTTTTGTTTTTTCAAGAAAAGATTTATGGTCTGTTATTATGAGAAAGTAAGCTTTGGGTTCTTGACTTTAAGTAGAGTCTAGATTGAAAAAAAGAGTGCGATCACCAATAAGAGTGACTTACCTTCTGGTGGGCCTGTTTTCATGCACATTATTGGTACAATTACACATTTAATTAGCTGGTATTTAACAATTCTTGCTATATTAAGATGGCAGCATAAATTTAGAATTTATTCTAACCAGACTATTTGTTTGCTCAGGAATTACATGAATAACCCATTGTCACAACCAGTTCTGTCATCAAGACAGTGACTTAAACAGTTGATGATAATTTAAGCATATAACGGCTCAAATCGACAAATAACCACAAAGTTTTACAAAGGAAAAGCCAAAGCTCTACTACTACCTCACTGTCTGGTTGACTTAGAATACAAGAGGAGGAATAACAGCTTGCTTCTTGTTTCCAGATACTGAGGTAGTAATATCTACCATCCTGCACCTCTTCTCTTTCTGTCCAAAATAGAGTTTATTGTTACACGCCGTGGTTGGCAGATTTCATTAGGTTACTTTTGGATATTATTGTGCTCACCGTGTGTATAATTCTTGTTGTTAGCCCCAACTGTTGTTGATTTTATTTTCCTCTATTTCATAATCGTGGTTGCGTGTCTCTGTGTCTGCAGTGGAAACCGCAGCGTACATCATAAACAACGTCGGCCTTCAAATCTCTCCCAGAAGCCCAGTGGACAGCGGGACACCCGTGTCCATCCGCTGCCAGGTCAGCGTCAGCAGCAGCAGCATCTCTAAACTGACGCACCAGTTCCTGCTCACGCGGGACGATGTTCCCATCCACTCCTCCAACACCACAGAAGAGTCGGTGGAATATGCCCTCACACCGGCAAGAGCGGCTGACTCAGGAACCTACGAATGTAGAGTCACAGTTAAGGACAAGAGCAGGAGCAGCATCAGCCAGAAACTGGACGTTACAGGTAGAGCTGAACAATGAAGCCGGTGGGCTTTGTGAGTGATAGTACAGAATCTGTGCAGGGAGAATCTTCTTATGGGATTGTTGTTGTTTTTTAAAGGAAGATAACTAATACAACATAAGTTTGTCAATCTTAAAACTATGTTTTTTCTGAATCTTGTGTATAACTGTAACTGTGCACATACTGTAGGTTTAACTGTAAGTTAGTAGTATCTGTGGTACTTTCAAAGTTGTGTAAAGGGGAGGGAAAGTTTGGCTGGCCTTGATTATTCAAGCTTTGCTACTAATTTTTGTTTTACAGCTCCTCATTGACTGTGGAGATTATGGAACATTTGAATGTAATTAAAACGGTTGTATACCCCAAAGTGTTTACCATGCCAGAGAAGAAGCAGTGTGCAGAATAATGTTTCCTTCTCGCTGCCTCACTGGTGTTGTCTTTCCTCAGGCCTGCAGACCCCCAAACTGAGCCTGAATAATTTAACACCCTATGAGAATGAGGAGTTCGTGGCCACCTGCAGTGCCCCAGAGGAGAAAGGGCCCTTAAAATTCCATTTCTACCAGAGATTCAGGACTGGAGAGCCTGAGATGATAAAGCAGCTGCAGACGGCTGGGAATTCCTCGGAGGCCACTCTGAAAATCCGCCACATTGGAGAATGCTTTCTGTCCTGTGACTATGAGATCAGTATGGTTTCTGAGAACAGACGGTCCAATCTTAGCGATGAGATACAAGTGCTAATCAAAGGTGATTAAATCAGATCCCTCTTTGTCACAGAGAAAACATGAAGTGATTTGAGGAAGGATGTACCTAACATTTCACTGTTGTGTCTCTCAGTGCTCAACATTGTTCCTGTGATGAATATCCTGCCCTCCCAAGTTGTGTTTGAGGGAGACACTGTAGAGGTCATCTGTAGAGTGATGGACAGCCGTTCGGAGCAGATTGAAGTGTTTCTTGTGAAGGACAAACAAATTCTCAAGAAATCTGGCTTAGCCCTCAGTCATCGGTTTGTTGTTAAAGAAGGGGACTCGGGGGAGCTTGTTTGCAAGGCAGAGTGGGGAAATGTCCAGAAAGAAAAAAATCAAGCTATCACGGTCAAAGGTAAGACCCAAATCTAAAAAAATGCTGGATGTGTCAACACATTCATTTTTGTTGCATGTTTAAAGTATAATCTATCTAAGTTGAATATGCTGAATAAAAAGCACTCCTAATCTTTCAATTTTCCTGTCAACAGAGCTGTTTTCAAAGCCCCAGCTGACTGTTGAGCCCACTGAACTGTTTGAAGGAGATCGTTTCAAACTGACCTGCTCTGTCTCTATTTACATTCCTGAGAGGATCAGCAATGAAACCATGAAATTCTCCTTCTACAAGGACAACATCCGAATGGAGCTGGACGATGAAACCACAAAATTCACCACGTACAAAAATAACGTTCAACAGATCAGTGTGGAGACTAAAATTATTGTGGTGAACTTTAAAAAAAATGGCAACTACACCTGCAAAGCCCAGACCTCCTCTCTGACCCATAATTTTGTTAAGGAGAGCCAAAGACGTGTTATTCAAGCCAAAGGTAAGTTGCGTAGCACAGGAAATTGCTACTCATTTTAAGATTTGTATCCATATAGTAATATTTCAAATCAATTAAAGTGTGAAAAATAAGTGGAAGTAATTTCCAAACTTGTAACTAGTAGTTCTTTGGAGCAGGTACATGTCTGCTTTTGATTAAATATATGGAACCAGATCTCAATAAGATATTGAATATGCCACGATAAAAGGATAACTAGACTGATTTGGAGAAGTTTGTATATACCAAGGCAACCACTCATGAAAATCGCTTTGTATTTTACTTGTATTGAGGGTGTTATTATTTAGCTCAAAGCTCTGTAATGTAGCTTCCCATAGCTATAGACTATTCAGTCTTGGATATATATGTCTTTGACTGTGTCTTCCCCTCCTCTTGTCTTTTTGTCCGGACAGTTCCTGTTTCTGAACCTGTGCTGAGCGTCGTAGGGGGCACGCTGTTTTTGGGGAAGCCGTTCCGATTGCTCTGTCACAGTGAAAGAGGCTCTCTACCCATCACGTACACCTTGCAAATCCCCAACAGTCTACCTGAGAACCAAGTCGTTACCAAGCTAGGCGAACAGGCCATCTTCAAGCTCCCAGGCATCCTCAAGAAATCGGATGTAGAAAAATTTCTTTGCCATGCCAAAAACAGTCTTAGGAGGCCTCCCCAGATTGGATCAGGAGAGCAATTGCTGCGCTCAGCCAGAATAATAGGTGTGTTGCATACAGGAATAATAACAATGTGATCAGTAAAGCATGCTGAACTGTGCCACTGACATTCATTCTTCTGCGCAGAGCCGGTGTCAAAACCAGTGTTGACCATTCAACCCAACTCTGGAGATGTTTCTGAGGGGCAGAGCGTCAGCCTCGTGTGCTCCGTTCTTAGTGGCAGTCCTCCTATTAACTTCACCTGGTACCACAGTGAAACCGTGGGCGCTCTTGCTTCCTTATCTACCAATGAAATGAAAGGAACCCACAGCATACCCAATCTTAGAGGAGAGCATGGAGGGAACTACTACTGCGTGAGCACAAACCTGGCCAAGGAAACCAAACAAAGTCTCACCGTGGCAATTGGAGGTGTGTCGTCTTTTTGTTTTTGCTGCCTGGTATGTGAGGAAGGTGGAGATAAGGATGCCAAAAATTACCTCAACTCATGCATTAGTAACGGTCAGCTTTCCTTATTGTTTTAATTATTCAGTGAGGCAACACTTTTTAGCAAATAAATTATGTGTAAGGACAATAATGTTGTGTAGTTCAACGGAAAAAGTTTAACTTTGCCTTTCTTTGTTGTGAATTCAAAGATTTGGTTTAGTAGAACACGACATAGAAAATAGTAGAACACAAAACCCCAATTTTAACAAATTACATCAGCTGCACCAAATACTGCTGCCATTGCCTAATAGCAAAGACATTATTGTGCATCAATGACAAAGGTTCAAATGGATTAACCATCTAAGATTGAAATGATGTCATCATGTTATAACAATTATCATACCAGTTGTTCCACGTGTCTAAAGTAAGTGTGTTCTCTAGTGAAGATGGCTGGTTGGAAGAAAGGTCTTATTGCAATCTTCTGCGTGCTACTTTTACTCGTGATCCTTGTTATTGCCTTCAAATCACGCCTCCTTAAATTCAAGAGGAAAAGGACTGGCCAGCTCTCAGTGTAAGTAACATTTTCTGTGCATTTTGGTGGTGAAACCATCTACATCACAAAGGTATGATGGTCATGAAACTTCTAGTTGATTGATTTCTTTCTTAATTTCATCTCAGGAAGTCAGCCAGCACCAAAACAGAGAGACTGAGCCTCACCCAGGCAGAAATGAACGAAGCTGCCAATGGTAAAGACGCCTTCACATTATAGTAATGCGGGTCAATTTAGTTTTGTCACAACGTTTTGTTTTCCCTGTGTAGTAACACCCGGCATGATGGGAAAAAGTGTTTGGAGTGAACACGTTTCAGGCTCTGGTGAGTAGTCTGTAGATGGTTTTATTTTTCATTATCATCATTATTTTATTGTATGTTTGCTTTTAAGCTTTTTCTCAAAGGTTAAAAGGGTTCAGATGATTTGTTTACTCACACATGGGGTAGAAAATGTTTTTGGGGACAGTTGGCAGCTTCAAATTCATACATGTTTTATGCAGAGTGCAGTGAGTGCTCACAGCGACAGGACCAGGGACAAGGATTAACGTCAAGTCCCAATGTTTTATGTAGTGAGAATTTCTCTGCCAGTTTGGGTTCCTTGACATATTTTTTGTAATTTATGGACAAATATGGAGATCTATGGCACAGAAATGAGGAATTTGGGGTATACACTAGCTGTTTTGCAGTTACAGTGTAAGCAGTGCTGGTACTCCAACCTTTTACAGTGATTATACTTCTTTAGTTCAAAAGGTTAGAAAAACTGTTATATTTAATTGGATTGTGCCGCAGATACTGATGACCAGAACAGTGTGACTATACCAGACAAGCCAGAACCTCAGTACACAGAAGTGCAAACAAGAGAGGCAGATCCCAACAGAGGTGAGACTCATTCTCAATTTCCTTATCTGACAAACCTTTAAGACATGACCAAGGAAAAGTGCTTTAAATGTCACTATTTGTTTTTGTTAGCTCCAGTGAAACAGGGCACCGACACTGTGTACAGCGAAGTGCGCAACTCTGTGCAAGGTAAGACTGACATACCAATCTGTATTCCCAGCCACTTAAAGTAAAATGGTGAAAGAAATAAGGTCACTGGCATTTGGAAGGAAAAAAAGCAGGAAACAGGATCAGCTCCAACTGTAAACATCTGCATTGTTAACAGAAGAATGTCCCATTAAAACAGAAGGCTCAGTCTCCAGGTGTCCACTTCCTGCTTTCGTCAAAGGGAGCTTCCTGTTGTACCAGCACAGTCGAACAGTCTGTGCATCCGTTAAAATCGAGTGAGCAACTGTTTAACTGTTGGACACTCATGGGAGAGCTCTTTGTCCATTGTTCAGTCACAGGCTTGGTTGGCTGCATTTCTGTCACACAATAATGCTGCAGGAATGACGTGGAACATGTCTTTTCTGTGCACTTTGAGGCATGTTCGAATCAAACTGTTGACTTGTACACATTAGTGTTGCCACTGAGCGTGTGCGTCATGAGCTCACCGTTTCCTGGGAACAGAGTGTTGTTGGTGGGAGGGCTGATGAATGCACAAGCCCTCCTTTAATCCTCAAACTCCTTTTGTTTCCTGAGCAAGACCTTTGGTTTTGTTTTTCCAGGTGTTCCAGAGCTGACTGATGGTGTAAGTAGCATTGCATGTCCACTCTGCACACAGTTCAAGCACAAACTAAAAACAGACACCCTAAACCCTACTCCTCCTCATATTCCAGGCCCTTATCTTTATGTAGTTTTGGTTTATTGCAGTAAATGAAGCCCATTGTTGCCAGAATATAATTTCCTTCCAAAAATTCTTCAGCCTTTTTCCTCCAAATACACATTTGTTCATTGTGGCTGAGAAGTAATCTGATACACTCTTCAGCGTTGTATTTTTTCTTTCTTTTTTTGTCATTTTACAGAATGAACTGGCATTGTTAAAATAGTTAAAAACCTATTTGCCCTCTGCTTGTCCTTTGTTGCATGCAACATTTCTTGATTGAACGTCTAACAAAAGAAACCAAACAGGAAATGGATCCTAGATTCCAGTGGGTTCAAACTGCTTACATTTGATCACAGGGCTAACACAGAGACAAAAAGTGTATCTTAGCAGTGTCTTGTAAATCAGTATGTTAATTGAAGAACCATTTTAGAAAACTGCTCAAGACCGTGTTATCACAGTGTTTGATTGTAAGAAACTCCAAAATAGCTGTGGTCATTTTACAGCTCGTGTCTTATTGATCCGTGCATCAGCTACAAATAAAAAAATAAGTCTTAATGTTATCCTTATATTTTGTCAGGCGTCAGTGGAATACGCACAGCTGAATCGTGACGACGAACAGCACAATGACCACAGTAACCATGGTGACGACAGTGTGAATAACGACCACACAACTGAGACTGACAACAGTGTAAGCGTTGATGTGGGTGATCAGGGGGGAGAAACATGCGACTCAGTGCCTGACTGCTGAAGTATATTTGCTCCCTTATTTATCCATCTTCTTCATGAAAATGGAATGTTTTTGTACAACAATCAGAAAAGCTCCTCGTTTAAGCATTTGCGTTCTGTACTTCCTATATCTAAAATGCTTTTTGAAAAGAAAAACGAAAAACTTTTCTTGCCTTGGTTTTTAAGCAATGATTAAATGGTTTTGTAAATTGTGTCCGTTGTGTGTCTTTTTGTTTTAATTCTGCTGCCAACGGAAAGAGGGAGAGGAAATGTGTTATTAACCTAAAGGAAGAGACCCAGCAAAGTCTGATAACAATGTTGACAGTCTCTGAAATCTAAATGGGAGGAGAACGCCTTTGTAGCCACCAGAATGGTGATATCATTATGCCATTATCAGTGACCCTTCTGCTGTGTGGAAATCTGTAATTTCGATTTAAACAACTAGAGGACAGGCTTGAGGCAGCTCAGCAGTGGAAACTTAGTGCCATCTGGCTGTGATCTCCTTTAATGTGAGAAAGGCTGTCACTTCAGCCTCCACTTCAGGAGATATCCATTTCATTTTCCATTATCGAAGATCTAATTGGATGATATAACACAAGCTGATCCAAGGTCTCCGTATGCCAGATATGTTTATCAGGCCAGTCCTGCTGTTTCTCCTCTGATGAGACCTGTGTGCTGAAATGAAAAATTTAAACACAGGGATATGCAGCCTCGGTACATCCAAAAACGCTCAGCGGGGCAGTCAGACATTACCCTACATGTTGGAGTTGTATTGTGCAGGATTTTTAATGGTGCCAGTTTGACTTGGAGTGCATGCAGTGCAGTGTGGAAATGTGGAAATCTCTATATAACAGCTGGATGGACTTCACTTTGAGTAATACATGACTAAAAAAAGCTTATTGAGAAATGAGGCATTAATAAGTTGTTTTTCTGAGTGGAGAATGGCAATGGCACATAGTCTCCACAAATGAATGTTCATATGTAAGTCAACTGAAAGTCTTTAACAAAAAAATGCTACCAGGTTCCAGTAACAGCCATTCTGTTCTTGGATGTGGATGTAATTGTGATTACTCTACACTGAGAGATTAGAAGCTAACCGGAACACGTTCCAAAAAGTTCATTACAAAATATAAAATGTAAATTGACAAAGGATCTGTTCAGCAGGCATAAACTACTTTTTCATATAAATATCTTTCAGACCTTTGCTTTTTTTTCAATAATTTCTGAATATCTGAGGAAATCCTGAAGGTGCAGCTCTAGATTTTATTCAGAATGCAACAGGGGGTACTCAGTGTTCACAGAGCAACGGATGAAATCTGTGTGAGAATCTGTGAGACCCGACACCAGTGCAAACAAATGCAGCCTGCCCCCAACTCACAAACCTTTGTTTCCATTTATAGCACAGACTAATGAATAGGCAGGTGTATAGATGCTGTGCTTTCCAGTTTGACTGATTTTCTGTCTGTTTGTGCAACAGTGTATGTACAGTATTCCACCTCTAAACTTATCGAGCACTGCAGTTGTGTTTATTCATCACAAATGCAAATTATTCCATACTAGGGTTTGGAAATGTGGTCGGGTGTTTCCAGGATTTGCACCATCCTCACAAAAGCCCCAAAGGATGCACCAAGTGAATGATATGAGCGCTTCTTGGCTTGTGTGTGGTCCACAGAGGCATCTGTGAGTGAATTCCAGCACTGAGGTGCCAAAATGAAAACCCACTCCTACTCTGAGGATAGAGCAACATCTCTGTCGACTGATGGTTTATTAATCGTGTTACTTAACCAGGAGGCAGGACCGGGAGGGAACAGCATATTCTGAGCTTCAGGCACACAGGAACTGATACCGTGTTACATAAACAACAAGATCATGAGCTCTGCTGTATCATTAGAAATAAGCAGAAGTAAGCAGAAGGACAACGAGGATTCTTTTTTAATATGTTGAGACGCATATGAACTAATGTCAAAACTAGGGCCAAATATATATTTTAAACTAAATGAGTTCTACAGGTGCGTGGTAATGTTCTGGGACAGATGGGTGCTGAGTGCATTCCTGTGGCTCATTACAGACACTGTACACTTTGCCCAAGGATGGTGGTGTCCTGACTTCAGGTCCCAGTGTCAGGTGGAGATGATGGATTTACTACTGCTCCTTAAATGATGGCACATATCCCTATAGAGGCACTAAACAATGCTATCATATGATCAATACATATACCCTCTAAAGTATGGTGAAGAAGCCGGCAGGCTTGACTCCACATTCACATGTCAGGAGTGATAGATCAGTATAAGAGGCCCCGTAAAGTTGTCTCTAAGCTCCATTTTACTGCTGCACATACACTTTGTGTCTCCGCCGTGTAACCTGATCCAGCTCTTCTTGTATCTGGACCACAACTCTTTAACTGCCATTGGCTGCTGAGCTAATTTTAGCACATTGACCCCTGCAAAATGCATTCTGGGAATATCCTGCCTTTGATTTGGCCTTATGGAGCCCGAGCTGTTTCTGGTTTTCAAATGTAACAGTGAGGTCATCCCACAGACCTCGTCCTCCTTCTGCCCCCAAAGGAAAATGTATGGTGCACTTGAATCAGGGGCCACCATTGTGCTAGATTTTAGTGTTTTGATATTTGTGCAAAAATGATTAAATATTTTTACAGAATAATTGTTATATACAGTTTGTTTTGACGTTAAACTAAATCAATTATGAAGGCAGAAATTACTGTTTATACACCTCTGTACATAAATCCTCTTCACATAGTTTTCCTGTTTATATTAAAGCGATCGTCTGTGCAACTGTTAAAATATATTTGTGCAGCGATTTGACTTTCTTTGCTTCTTAATAGGAATGAAGAATGCAGTGTGGGAAATAATGAGGTAAAGGAAAAGACTAGTATTTTAGTTTCTAAATTGACTCTTTTGTGAATTGTTTTATTATTAATATCCTCTACAATCCTCAATAGACTTTGTGTTAAAATTAGACTTCTGTTCCGTGTTATGAAAACAGGCATAATTGGAATTGTATGCTAACATCCAACACATCCTAACATGACCTTTATAAAAAAAATCAAATATAAAATGATCCTGAAAAGTTGCCATTCTGTTAAAAAAAGCTTACAAAGCTATTTCTATTTTTTCCACAGCATTTTTTAAGGTTCTATTTTTAATTCTCCCACGTATGCTATGTGCATCCCTCAATGTTTGTTTAAAAAATCTGGGGATCATCAATGGTATCCAGGCTTGTGACCACCCCATGCCAAATGGGAAAATCAAAGGAGAGGCTTATCAGAATCTATGATTTTAAGTTTAAAATCATTATCAAACTGTTTTCACAAGACAGATATTTTTAACAAAACTTAAAATTACTAGAATTTATTTAGATATGCCACACTGACCAAATATGAGCATTCAGATATTCGAATGAGCTGACCGGGAACTCTGAAATAAATTTCCTTTCAAATTAATCCATTCAATTCTTAACATCTGCTCACCTGCTTAGATTTTTTTTTTTTTAATATTATGACTCATTTTCTTTTTTTTCAGCAAAAAAATTATTCACAAATCTCTCTCTCCAAAAAGCCATAAACTGTCATTTCATTTCAAGTCAAAGCATGAAAACTCTTTAAACTCAGTTCAAAACCACAAAGTAGTTCAAACAAAGTAAAGTGATCACTGAGAATTTCTCTAAATCTCAATGTGCCTGAAGCTTTGTACCTGTGAGCCATTGAGGAAGAGATTTGTGTGACATGTTTGACACAATGAGGCGCTTACATAACGCGACATATCCGTTTCCTTATGGGGTAACGTATCAAAGTGAAGATCTAGGGGCATTTATCAAATTTGAAGCTGTCACATGAGCCATTCCCAGAACATCTAGCATGTTAAATACTGTCCTCTGTTCAGACACTGCCAGCAAAAGGCAGCGTGGTTTATTGGGCTATGTGAAAGTGTGACACTGCATTGTCCTTCACACGCCGGGCAGAGGTTGCATTAAGTGAGTCCACCTGTTTGATGTCCTCAATCTTTAGCTGCATAAGCTCTGACAAGCTTAGGAAATTAATTAATCTTAACCTTGTCCAACCTGGTCAGTGCAGAAGGGGGCTTGCTGGACATATGTCCTCTTTTTTTTACCGGCCGCTGGCCTGCACCAAACTGAAACACACACCCCTATTGTGCAATCAGGAATTAAAAAATTAGGAACATATACGCACACCTTTTAAACCACGGCCTCCTCTTCCGTGTATGTGGGCTTCAGTTAAAGTAACTTTATACTGACACAAACAGTCATGGGGGCACGATCGCGTCTCCCACCTCCATCTGAGCCCCCTTGTTCTCTCTGCAGACAGCTGCAGCTTTGGACAAAAAGAGCGTCGAGCTCTCTCGTGGGACAATTTATTCACAGCTGTACTGGAAGGCTTTTAATTCTGGACGACCAGGGTCACTGGAAAATATAAGAATGTAAAGTGTTTATGTGCAGAGATAAGCAGTCACCATGGGTTTAAATCCTCTGCCATCCCAAGCTCCTGAGACCCGGCCTGAGCTGCTGTTTTCCGGCAGGAATATAAAAGCCATTCACACTCCCCGGGGCAGTCTGCTCTGTCTATTCCTCTCCACATGTCTAATGTTTGAAATAAAAATTAGAACCATTTTATTAGCAGCTCAACTTTTTATAAATATATTATCTTTTCAAAAGATTAACCACTAATTTGGTTTAACAATGTGTCTGTTGTGTATCAGACAAACCTAAATCCTATTTAAACATTTAGACTGAGTTGAGTTTAATGTTTATTTCATAAGAACTGTCTCTACCTGTTGTTTTTTTTGCTCCAGCCAAGGCAGTTGTAGATTTTTTTCAATAAAACAGGCTTCAGTTTATCAATTAATATCTTTATATCACAAATGTTGAGGGTGGATGTAGAAAGCAACACTTGCAACAATAATGAATATGAACCATCTCCTCCTGCAAACTATGATCTCATGACCGGACGGCTTCCGCAACTTAAGAACCAAAAAGAATGGGAACCACGAGGGCCATGCAGCGTATGCAGGGCCAGAGAGCAGCTGGCTTCTTTTTCAACAACAAATAGCTCAATTTACAGTCACTGAGGTTGCCCAATTTGCTTACTTGGACTTGAGTAAAATCTCATCCACATGTGAATTGATCTACTGTTGTTTAATATTTAATCTTTGAATAAATATTAATTATCTACCAAAACAAAGCTATTTATTGTTTGGCCTCGGTTTAACTAAAGCATTATTTAGAAATACACATCTTTCATGAACAAATTAACATGAAATTTATCTGAGGAGCATCTTATCAAATACAAAAACTTTGATGACAACTAAAACTTTGACTAAATAATGGCAAAAATATCATACCATGTATTTCCTGTACCAAACTATAGGATGTACCAATACATGCAGTTTAATTAAACCAAAGAGGAACACAACTGGTTTCAAAACAAAAATAAATTAATGGGAATTTAGTTAAAATAACTTGGTAACCAGCACAACATATCTAATGTTACTCGTATAACCATCTGTGTCAAGAGAAGACTTAACAGTCAATTCATTTTAAAATCATTTTTATGATTGCAAGTCTATTTAAATCACCAATTAAGACCTGACCCAGACTCGTCGTTGGTGCTTCAGACGTTGAGTGTCCCAAGATGGAACCACCACCACTGTGGCACACATTGCGGTGTCCCTCTTTCTCACAAACCAAAAGAGGATTACAGCCTCCAGATTTAGATACCAACTCCCCTTTTTTCTCGGCCTGCTGCGCGTGCCGTAACCAGATACTTACCAGGCTGGGCGAGTGTCTCCCAGTGGGCCCATCAAGATCCAGACAAAGGCTAATCCCCTCAGTGTCTAAAAATCAAGTGATCCAGGTGTGCTCATAGGCTGGGCAGTGTCAACTATGTTCCTGTTGTCACCCATGAGGCTGCATGTGCCCAGAACAGCGGGGGGGCATTTCTGAGAAAAGGCCTGCAAAGCCCCAAAAGCGGCACACAAAGGCACTGGTGGCGCTTTTGCACGATGACTTCCATTGGCCTTGATGTATTTTGGACACCCCCTGTGCCCTTTCCTTAGCCAAAGTGGCCTAAGTCTGTCAAATTGAAGCGCATGAATTTATTCAAACTGCATTTTCAGAATCACATGCCGGTGGTGTCACATTGGCCTTTTAAACAACAGGGTTTGTCAGGATTGCTGCCTGCATTCGTAACACGCTGTGCACAAACAAGATTCTTCACAGCTTTTATTTTTAGCAGTTAAAACCACATCTAACCTGCCTCTTACCTTCATCACCAGAGGCAGCAGAGTGTTAAAGGCAGCATAGCCGGCTTAATTAAAACACGTACGGTCCACCGATTTGCCTCTGTGGCAGGCAGCAATTAGATCACCATTGTTTGGGCCTCCGCTTGCAGTACTCTGGGCTTTTTGAACGTAAAATGCCAAGATAAAAAGTGAACGACGAAAACTTTAAAGTGGGGACCGACCGCTGTAAGGTGTAGAAAACAGATCCAAAGCGTTTTTTCTAACAATACAGAACACCCTGCACGATAAATCCTCTTTTAGAATACTTATTTGCAAAACAATCCCCAGCTCCCATGGGTATACGCACTGCCTTGGAGAATCCCTCCATAAAAGGAAATCATGCCTTTCGCTCACTGTGTGTGAAAAGGTTGCAGAAGGAAGGCATTGGGGAAGCAAGAATTGGAGGTGACAGAGTAGAACAAAGCTTTTTTTGCAAAAACATACTCAAATATGGGTATACCTCTTTGCTTGAGGGCGTAGCAGTGTTAAAAGTAACAACACTAAGTTTTTAAACAGCAGATAAGCCAAAGAACTTGGAAGAGTGTGTCACATAATCTTTTAACAGATTCAACAACACAGAATATGTTGTGAGAAGGAAATTGAATTTCCCGCGACCCCATGAGGGAATAAGCGGCATTGATAATGGATGGATGGATGGAGATGCTGAATACGGATATACTGTTATATCATATGTTTTAGTCATTTCTTGTTGGAACGAGGGCCCAAACAAGCATATTGTTAACAGTGCAGCGAAGTGTAGGCCTGCCAAATTGATGTTCGGTGATAAAATCTACTGTCCATTTAAATGGGCAGATGAAGACAACTATCTTTATCTGATATCACATGAACCTCTAATAAAATGTGACCTCAAGGCAGCTGATGGCTCCACGCAGAGGTGAAATCTCTCACATGAGAAAGATCTCAATCTGTCAGTCAGTGTTGTTTTTGTCTTGGTCTGTACACCTGAATGTTTTCAACTCTGGTGTCTGCGGCCTGACACTATGTATAGCCCTGAGGCCGTAACATGTGAGATCCGCACAGAGGCACGTAGCAAGCAAACATTCTGCATAAGCTGAGGTTCTTGTTTCTTCTGGTGAGGGCATAATTTCAGAGTGCCCCAGGAGAAAGGGGCAGGGCTGACGTCGCCATAGCGCTGCAATGTGATGCAAAACTTTGGGAGGCCAAGATGCTCCCTCTCTCAACCAGTCAAGGCCCAACACATTAAGTCTGTCTTGACATTAACCATTATTTCCTATTTATATGGCCGGCTTGAATAAATCAATGGATCTCTGCTCTTGTAACCCAAAATATCAGAGAGGTCCAAAACAACACGTTTTTACTTTGGCACAAGAGCATTCACACTAAACAGTTTTGATGTTATCGTGAGGATTATTACTGAGACTGAGGTGCTCCATAAATGGCATCTTAAAGATTTTACCAATATTGAACAAATAACCAGATATTCAGCTCATTTTAGACCCATTGCTAAATCCTCACCAACCATTAAACAGAAGCAACCTTCACATATCTCTTCTCACCCTCACAAACTACTCCCTTTTCTCTGTGTCTACAAGAATTGTAGCCAATTGCAGTTGATGGAAATGCTTTGAAGGGTGGAAAGAAACATCCTTCAATTTGGCTTTTCTTTCTGCAATCTGAGTGCAATCCTGAAGTCATGTTGTCCTTCTGAGGAGCTTCCCGGCACCAATAGCCCTAAAAACATTCAGACAACAGATTTAAATGTATCCTCTCTGTGGTTAGATATGATCCCATAAAAGCAGATGATCAATATTTAGCCACAGATCCCTACAATCTGAAAGGGAAAATAATCTTATAATAATCTCTGTGATCTTTATATTTTTAACTTTATCTTTCATGCTAAAGTTTGGAGTACACCAACATGGACTGAAGTAAGTGATAAGGATTCCTGGAGTGAGTTTAAACTTTGAAGTCACAAACAAAAAAGACTTGGAATCGCAGCCATAGTATTACTTCTGTTTCATTGGCGGCATGTCTGAAATTCACAAGGCGTCTTCCAAAAGTTTTCGATCCAGTTATATCCAGCTCTGCCCATCTTAGAGGTCTGTCCAGGGACAGCTGCTGCCACTAACGTAATGTTACAGCGCCAATCACACTGCTGTTAAAAGCTGTTGGAATATAGTTTAAACATCAAGTGAAAAAAGAATCTCTCCACTGCTCACAAGAAGACCAAAAAGATTCCTATTTATGATTAATGCAGACCTATATATTTTTGGTGAGTCCATCTTGCAGAGGGGGGACAAAAGTTCAGGGTTGTAAATAGCTGCATTTATGGCAACCATGTGACTTTTCAGTGACATTTGAGGGGAGAGGTTACATTTAGTACCACTGCTCTCTCAGTTTTCCAAAACTGGGCTCCCCAGTATAACCTCTTCGGAGGATAAATTTTACTATCCAGTTATTATGTAAAGGGCAGCATCAAGAGGGACACTCAGACCTACAGGTCAGTGGAGGGCATGACCAAAGTGATTCAAAAGGAAAAGCCAATACTGTGTGGACCCACTCTGTACATTTCAAGTTGGAAAAAAGTTTTTTTTTTTACATCATTCTTTAATATCTCTTGCATACCGAGAGACATGAAAGAACTACGCCTTGCAATATTTAAAAAAAACCTGATGAATCAACAAAACATCCCTAAAATTATGTACTGCTGTTTTTTTTACTTTTGTTTGTTTGCCCTTCAAATCCTTTTGGCTGGCTAAATTATAGTCATCTTACATTGTTAATAAAACAAAGTTAGGGAATAATTTGGCTCAGAACATCGCTGCTATGACAACATTTAGATTTAACGTCCATCTGTGTTTTCAGTATGTTTATGCAAGAGCATTTTGAAATTGAGTCTCAAGCGAAAAGGAACATGGTGGTTGTCAACATTTTTTATGATCTAGGGGTGATCTGGGGGAGTCAGTGGACATGTGACAGTGGGAGGAGTGGGACGAGGGTCACTCATTTCTAAGCTGAAGTCATTGGATATATGACCTGAAAATAGAACTGCAGAGGGTATATAGGGATGCTGTATGGCTTTCCCCATCAGACTCGGGCTCAGTGCAACAGCAAACAAACTCTGTGACAAACGGTTTCAAGTAGAAGAAATGAACTGCCAACGAGACAGCGTTTCCAGCTAAACGAGAAGAGGATTTGGACTCGTTTAGGGGAAGCAAAGGATTTGGAAAGTGCTGGTGTTATTTGAGACAACCAGGAGCTGCCTCAGCTAGAAACCCAAAGGATAAAGCCAGGAAAAAGCAAGAAAGACACAGAGCAAAGGATACTGCTCTTTCTTTGGATAATTGTGCTCCATTGGATTTCTTTATTTCCCTCCTCCTGATCTAAACGCATTGGAGGAGACAGAGCTACAACCACTGCAAGGATGAAGTACAACTACCATGTACCACTGTCTACATACACACGCAGTTCACAGTACACGCCAACATACCACACACCTTCCTCTTTCAACCCTTCACATTACACACCGACAGCGCACACATCCACATACGCTTCAGTATCAAAGTACACCCCAACACAGCTCAGCAGCACGTACTACACACCGACCCATTACACGCCCAGCTACAAGGCCGCATCAACATACGTCCCGTCATACGGCAAAGGCTCACGATACAGTTCAGCGCGTCGCACACAAGCACAGGAAACCCCTGTGCCCATCATACCCGTCACACCTGCAAAGAGAACTGTGCACTTCCCCAACGACATCGTCTTCCAAGATATTGTTAGACGAGGAGACCTGGAGCAAATTGGCCGTTTCATGAGAGCAAGAAAGGTTCGGGTGGATACCCTTTTCCACTCAGGTGAGAAAGGACGTCACAGCTTTTAAGTTTTGTGTCCCATAGTCATCATTTTTATTGTCAGATATCCCCAATATACTGCCATAATATTTAAGAGGGTATTGGAATTAGAAGGGGAATGGTTTAATACACTGATTTGCTGGTGTGAGAGACTGATGTGTTTGTACGTGCAGGGATGGCGGCCCTTCATGAGGCAGTGCTCACAGGAAACCTGGAGGTGGTGAAGCTGCTTGTGAAGTACGGCGCCGATGTCCATCAGAGAGATGAAGATGGCTGGACACCCCTACATATGGCCTGCAGTGATGGCTACCCAGAGATTGCAAAGTAATAAATCTATAATTAGCCAAATGAGATTAATATGACAGCCCAATTTAGCATATGTTGCTTAAGACAAGCTGAGACAATCTAGTAATGACATATCACAGCCATTTAAGATCAGATGCACTGATGATTTACCTGTGTTCTATATTTAGAAAAACTTGCACAGAGAATTTGTATTTGGTTAGAACTATTTCTATTTATTTCCCTCTTAGGTATCTTCTTGCAATAGGAGCAAGCACAGAAGCAGAGAATGAAAGTGGAGAGAAGCCTGTGGATCTTATTGACCCAGACTGCACAGAGCTGACCAAGCTGTTTGAAACTGGTTGTGTGTGACAGAACACCATATGGACCCGAGAGAGAACCAGAAACACGATATGAATCATAAAAAGAGAGCAAACGGTAAACAACTCTCAATAAGCTGAACAGAATGGATGAATATTTCTCTGTTGTCTGTATTAAATCACTGGTGCTGTAATGCAATGTTGTGTTTGTTACTGACAAAAATCTCAACCTTCTTTTTGATTACTACATCCTTTGAGCAATACACTGTTAATCTGTTTCTGGGAGTGACTTCATTCTACTTTATGATGTGTAAGATTTTATTTGCGCTTTTGTATATTTGTTACCCTCTTGTTGTAAGTGCTGTGAATATTTTTCTCTGTAATTGCCTTACATGTGATAGAACCTAAATATCTTGAATTGTTGAGAATAGGCCATGTCTTGATATCTATTTTTTTCTTGAAAAAGTTGTATTTCTATCGACCAGCTTTTAAGTTCAAGTTTGTGTCCAGTTGTGTTTGATTTTTTATGTAGCTGGTTGCACTTATCACACTGTAGAGAAATGTATACTATATTTCCACTGCAGGATTTGGGTTGAGATGATTGAGTTTTATACATTGCCACATGTCCTCCCTGCTGGGCAGAAAGAGGATCATTCAGATAAAAGAAACATACTGACTGTCATAAAACAGATAGACACATAAGCATAATGTTTATGGTGTCCATGCTCCTCTAGTGCTGCAGCATCTCCCCTAATATAATATTACCTTTCTGCTGTAAAAAATTCAAATGTTATCAATGAAAGTCTTATTGTTTCATGTTTAATTGTTAATTTTGTACATTTTCATAAATAAAGGTAACTTTTATATGAACATGCTGCTACTGTGATCTGTTAAAAAAAGTTAAACTAAGTTGTAGAACAACAATCCAGTAGGGAGAAGTTGGTACTCAGATTCCTGAATCCCCTCAATGTTATTAAGTATTTTGAACACACTTGTGCAGTAGTAGTCAAATAAGACTACTATTATACTATTACTATACTATTGCTCTCACTATACTATTACTATTATTCAAAAGCACCCTGTATGAATATTGGCACACAGGCCATTGGAGACCTTTGGTTAATATTCTGAAGCACACTGAGGGGTTAAAGTGATTTAAACAACATATCATAGAAATAATTTTCATGATTGATAACTAGAAAGCACATTGTTGTGTGAAAACTGAAATTAATAAGCCATCCTCTCTAGTCTTGTCCCTCTGGTGTATCTTTTCCTAACATTTAAGTTTGAGCCAGGTTCTACAAAAGTCAATCTAAAAAGGTGATAATCCATCCTTGAACTCCCCCAATGAATATTCTTATGCAAATTCGAATACGATAATTGTACCAACATGAATAATAGGTTGGAAAAAGAGATGTGGTAATACAAATATATCTCTGATTGATTATTTTAATAAAGAATTACATTAAGTGGGTATATTCGTTCGTTGAACACAAAGTATATTATTATCATTATCACTGATTTGTTTTTGGATACCCTTTCTCTTCCGTGTTTCTTACCGGAAATGATTGGTTGGCATTGGCAACGTTTTAGCCAGGTCTAACGGCGTTCACAGTCTCTGAATAAAGAAAACGAGAAGAGGTATTCCACCAAGGTTTGTTAAATATATTTACGCCAGGTTTTAAGAAACTCAAAAATAGCATCATTGTACTAGGCTTCCTCAGGTAAATTTTCTATCCCAGCTACGATAATAAATCATTAGCTCCTGGAAGCTAACGCTACGACGGGACACTGTAAATGCCGACTAACTAGCCACAAGGCTAAAGTTAGCCAGTTGGAATAATTCAGGTTACAATAAATCTTTTGTTAGCTGCGCTTCTGAATATTGATCTAGCGGTAAATATATCCGGCAAATTAAGAATGCTTTACAAGTTGGTGCAAACTATGTTTGGTATTTTCTCATACAAGGTTTGGTTCTGTTACCTACGGCTAACATCACTGAGGCTATTCATGTCAAAACGTAAACAAAAGCTTGTTTAGCTAACGTCTAAATGTGTTTATTTTTTCTGGCAACCACCTTGCCTTATAACTAAGGGAGATATTTCACTTCTACAGCAACGATTTTTCTTATATAGTGGCAAAACTTACCTTTGGTTATCAGATTATTATATTTAATTGTGAATGTCAGTAAAAGGCTAGCAAACAAATGTTTCGCTGGCGAGTAGCCATCAGCTAAGGGCATCAGACAGTTATGGGTGTTAGCTTAGTTGTAACCGCGTCTTTGTTTACCATTGAAAAATACCTATTGGATCATGTGGGAGTCCCAGTGCTGTCATTGTTGAGTATTGCGGGATATTACCAGAGGAATGTGAACTTTTTGATCCATCAGATCCACTCACCAGAGGAGCGAGGAGCGAGTACAGACTGCAAACAGAATGACCAGGTCTGGGAACATTTGTGGCTGTTTTTTTAATCTCCAGACTCAGTGTAATTTTATGATTAATGCAGAGTGATAGAAATAACAAAAGTCCCACAGAGGGGACTCCTTTTTCCAATGCTAATGTTGATGTTTTCATGTTTTGAAGCTCATCTGCTCCCAGGATGGTGAATAGTTACAAGAGGACTTCAAGCCCCCGATCCCCAACTAACAGTGGGGAGCTCTTTACCCCCGCACATGAGGAGAATGTGCGCTTCATACATGATAGTGAGTGTGACGTTGAACAACCATCTGTTGGATTTGATGTAGCATAAATCCATCATTTACATCATTAATTTTATCACAACTAAAACTACATTATGTTGCCTGGCAGCCTGTCGACTTCTGTTGAAGTCAGCTACAAGAATCTCACCTTTTTAGGTCAAAAAGGTTTTAAAATGTGCAATGTTTCCCTTCATTCTCACATGGCTGCCCTTTTAAACTGATGAAGTCCACGGAACCAAGTGTTAATGCCATTTCAATTTTAATTCAGCTGGAATATGTTTTCACCCATGATGACTTTGGAAGAGTATATTACGAGACAGATTTGCTATCTGACTGCTTCTAAAACCAGGACCCGAACTGAAGAAGCAAGCAATGTTACCACAGTCTCATTAACAAAAACAAATGGTGGGCTTTTGGAGTCCTAATATTTACCATGTGAAAATTCTTCAGTCAAAGCGTTTTGCACAGTGTTCAACACATACACGCTGTCCTGGGCAATGTTTTAGATGGAGTTCAGTCAGTTCAGTCATTTCTTTTGGAAGGACAAAAAACCCTGCAGTATATCTATAATGGCATCCAAAACTATCCCTTGTTCATATTTTGAGCTACTTAGTGATGATTATGTCTTTGCTGTTTACACAACCCAGAGCCCGACAATGTTTTTACTCCTCTCCTCTGCTGTCATCTGTTGGGGCAGCAGCATCAGAGCCAGGGACGTAAAAAGGCTCAATAATCTGATCAAGAAGGCTCGTTCTGTTCTGGGGAACCTCTGGAGATGATGATACAAAGAGGGATTTTGCCTAAAATCAAGAACATTATGGACAACCCTGACCACCCTCTTCATGAGACTGTAATTGGAAAACAGAGTCTCTTCAGTCATAAGTTCCTTCAGACTGCTTGTAAAACAGACTGTTATCGAAGGTCTTTTCTGCCCACAGCCATCACAATCTATAATAACAACTTGACCAAATGTGTTACATCATTTAGTTTCCCTCTGGGATAAATAAAGTATTTTTAATTTCATTTGAATTTAATTGAATAAGGGGAGCTTCCTTGATAATACTTGACCTGTGCTTGAATTAATTACTATTTGCTTAGGGCATTTGTTCTATCCACCAGTTAATTATATGTTAACCAGCCAAAAAATAAGTTAAGGATTTACACTTGTTACAAACCTGAAGAAGAGAGACTTCTAAAGCCAGACTTTAAAAGTAGTTTTCATGCACTCTCCACAAAAACTATAACAACACTGATATAAACTTTAAACAAATGAACACTTACCCATGTCCCTCAGTCTTTGAGTAAGATGTCTTGCTTCAGTCAGCGTGTTTTGTTGTGTTTTACTGATTCATTTCCACAGTTGGACTTAATTTATGGTAAAATAAATAAATGCAATTGCTCTTTGGCAGCCTGGCAGTGTGTGCTCAGAGACATCAGATCAACACAAAACAGTGAACGTAATGACCGTGGACCACAGGAGTACGTGGAGAAGAACCCTAACCCTAACTTACATTGTAAGTTACAGCATAGCATTGTATTTTTAGGTTACATGAATGAATCAGTCTACTTTAGACTATTAATTTCTCTGTTTGATTTTTCAGCTTTCACACCAGTGGACCTGAGTGACCTAAAAAAACGTAACACACAGGACTCCAAGAAATCTTAGTGTTTTCCGTGAAGATCAGATTTCATTTTTTCCACCCATTATCCACAAGAACTTTTCATCCATCGCCCCTTTGTCAGCCAGAAAGTTTACCCTGTTGGCCAGTTACATACAGAATGCAAGTCTCATTTCTGTACTCTGGAATATAATAGCTCCTTTATTGTTTTTTTCTTTTTTATTATTTGTTTTTACAACTGACTAAAAGGAAAAAATGGGATTTCAAGGAGCACAAATTCTGCCCTCTATTTTTCATGCTTTTCAGTTCAAAGAATCTTCATACTTACATTCGTGACGTGGACAGGACTGATGCAGGCAGTCATGAGAATTTGCTGACACCTGTTGCTGAAGCTCCACACAGGACACAGAAGACTGCAGTCTTAAACACAATATTAAATGACTTTGGAGGAAATTACGAAAAGGCTGACTTCTATTTTTGTTTTGTTTTTGGAAAATAGATAGAAGTAATTGATCGCTAACATTGGATACCCCGTTCAGGAGCAAGGTTTAAAAGCCAAAATACAATGTAGAAAGCCAACATTTTTATCATACGTTTCCTTGCCCTCTGATGGACTTTATTAATTAGAGTATGCAAGTACGGAGCCCTACGTTAAACCCCTTCCTCTAAGCCTTGAAACAAAATGTTGAATAAAAGACTTTTACAGAACTGCTTGGAATATGCCTTGGTTAATATTAATTGTAATGATTTTGACATCACTGAATTCAATTTAAAGTATTTACCAATTAATACATTTACTATATAAATACACAGTAAATGAGAAGTAAATTTGTACAGATAAGAGCTTTATTATATCAAGTACTTGAGATAATGGCATTGCATTGTCAGCAAAGGATACGAAGCAAGTAATGCTATGACAACACAACATGTTTAAAAATAAACACGAATGAGCATTTGAGTTCCAAATGAAATTAATGTATGGGTGAAGGACGAAATTCTTTCGAAACAAGGGTGAATATTGCAATATTGGTCACTTAGCAGTAGAGGGTGACCGTGTGTCAATTTTTGCTAATTACGTAATGACGTCAGGGATACGTGAGGCTGTAGGCGAACCAGTTTAAGATCCGTGTGGACTTCGGTTCATTGTGTTTTGTCGGCGCTACATAGAGCGTTGAGCTAAGAACAGGGAGAGGGACTCATCCAGTTTAGGGTTTATCTTTTATATAACTTTGATAGTTTAGCAGTATTGGGGCAGCATAATGGCGGATAAAATGGATATGTCTTTAGACGACATTATCAAACAGAACAGGCAGCAGAGAGGCGGAGGCCGTGGCGGAAGAGGTCGAGGCCGCGGCGGCGGCCGTGGAGGAGGCCCAGGACGTCTTGGTGGCGGCGTCGGCGGCGGATTTGGAGGCCGAGGCGGCGGTTCTGGCCCCATGAGGAGCAGACAGAACCTGAGCCGCGCTAGAGGCAGACCAACACCTTACAGCAGGGTATGAGAAAGTTAAAGGAATGAGCAGTGAAAGGAGAAACCTTCGGCACAGCTGAAAATGCCTGGTTTACATCCTTCTATTCTCCAGTAGGCTTGCTAGCTAATCCTCTAGCCAATTTGCTAGTCAAGCGAATATGCCTAACCGCCGAGTTTCCTTCAGAGGAGAGCTCGATGGTTGGCGGTTGAGCTTAAATGGAAGTTGTTTGCATTATGTGTCCCGTCTCCCACAACCCAAATGTCTTAAATCACCATTGGAGAAGAGGCCGTCGGAGAGTGGATGCGTTAGCTAACTGGCTAAAGTGGAATCGTGAGGGCCTCAACAGCGCCATTTTGAATCCAGCGCCGTAAAATAAGGCTAGTCGTCAAAGGTCAATATCGGCTTTCTACGACAAGTGTCAAATTGGCGATGAAAGGAAACAACTTCATCGGGAAAGTTCTACCTCAAATGATTTCTCACTGCTTACGGGAGCATTGTCTTTTTCCAAGTCCCGGTGAAGCGACCAGGCGGCCTTTTGTTCGGGGAGTGGCTGGCTGGTATCTCGAGGCCCGCTTGGTGGCTTTCAACCATGGCGCCTATTTCTTGTGGATGGATAAATGGACTTTAATTCCCCTGATAAATTTGAAAAAAGGCAATTCTTCACTACTTAAGGTTGAATGTGTCTCTAGACGAGCCCAACAAAGCCCCAGCCAAAATGGCGTGGTCTCAAAATGGACGCTCACACATTCTACCCTCATAAAGAAAGAGGGGGTATCGGGTCCTCTATTTTTCCATCCCCTTACATCTTACGGACAATTTTCCCACGTGAAAGCCGATGGCATGGCAAAGAACTCTGGTGGGCGAGAACACACTATGCAACGCTGGAGGCTACGCTGCTTCAGATGGTGACCGCCTGTGTACCCGAGGAGCATGTCTGGAGAGGCTTTGGTGGAGGCGCAGATGGCAAGAGAACAGTGGGCACTTCTGGTAGTTAGACTGGGAAACTCCTTTGGGTTTAGATTAATAAATGGGGTGGGATTGGGAAGATGTATTATGTTTGTTAGTAGTTAAATAGACATGTTGTAAACGTATTGTCATAGCATGTTATTAAAATATAAGTGCCAAAAGTATGTGTTTTTAAAAAGTTATGCAAGACATCCCCTTGCTTTTTAAAATACACTTGTTTGTCTTGTAAATGTCTTATCTGTTTGAAGTGATTGACTTAATTGTAGTTATGGGGTGGGCTGGAAAAATTGGGGACCCTCTTGAGGGAGCTGAGCACTCTGGCCATGTTGGACGTGGAGCCCCTGCTTAACCCAACAACCAGCCATGTGGACTCTGTGATTGACAGAGGCAAGGGGATCCTGAAGTCAGCAGGTGCGTCTCTTTCATCTGTTGCAGCCTAAACAGCTTCCAGATAAGTGGCAACACGACATGTTTGACAACGGCTTCAGCGGCTTCAATGGTGCCGCTGGTGGCGGTGGAGGAGCTGGCGTGGAAACAGGAGGAAAGCTGCTAGTCTCCAATCTGGACTTTGGGGTCTCAGATGCAGACATTCAGGTACTAAATGTTCTCTCTGAAGACACTTGCTATGACAGGTATCTGCTTGGGCAGATAGTTTAGTTTTCCCTCTTTCATTCAAGGAACTTTTTGCCGAGTTTGGAACTCTGAAGAAAGCTGCAGTTCACTATGACCGATCAGGAAGAAGTTTGGGAACAGCAGATGTCCACTTCGAAAGGCGGACAGATGCCCTTAAAGCCATGAAACAGTACAATGGTATTCCACTTGATGGTAAGCCTTGGGACCCTGTTGCCTATCAAGTAAAGTCATCATACTGCTGTTCCATGTTTAAGAGTTCATGTTTGTCTCTTTAGGGCGGCCAATGAACATACAGCTTGTCACATCACAGATTGACACACAGAGGCGGCCTATGCAGGGGTCAGTGGAAAATGATCATTTTAATGTATGCTTTTTTATGGCGGTTGTGTGTAACTGTGTGCTTTTCAGTCTGAACAGAGGTGGTGGAGGCATGAACAGAGGCCGCGGTTTTGGCGCTATGCAGAGAGGCAGAGGAGGACGGGGTGCAGGGGGCCCCCGAGGAAGAGGGCGGGGTGCCCGTGGTGGTACCAGCAAACAGCAGCTTTCTGCAGAAGAGCTAGATGCCCAGTTAGATGCCTACAATGCTAGGGTATGTCTAGCACTCTGTCAGGTGTTTTAAGTTCCCTGGTTGTTTTACGATGGTCTGATTTCATTCTTTGTTTTCTCAGATGGATACCAGCTAAGAAGTTATGTTCTTCCTTGATGTCCCTTCCTGTCTGCACAGAAGGGAGTGGTTGTTACAAATGTGCAGAATATTTTACACTTGGTTGTCTATTGATGTGATTGAAATTGTTCCAACTTCTTTTAAATACTCCAAAGTGTTTTTTACCAGTGCTTTTTTTTCTTTTTTTTCTGATAAATGGTTTTGGCTGTAGGTTATTGAAGTCCCTCTACCCTGTAGTAAATAAAACTTGTAATAAAAACCTGCAGTGCATATTAACCAAAACAAGTGTCATTGTTCGTCTGTTCCCCAGTCTGTATTTACGTAATGTTTTAAGACCACGCTGAATATTGAGCATTAAAATGATAGCTTTTGACGTAGTTATGACCTGAAAAGGGGTGGCAAATTCATTTTTGCAAACACTTCTTTGAGTTAAGTATGATTTGCCACTTATAAAGCACCAAAAGTAGTTTGAGCCTCTTAATAGATGGCTTGCGGTTGATGCAGTGTGAACATTACTTGAAGTGACCACTAGATGTCATTGTGTATCTATCACAAGTTTTCTAACACGTTTTACATAAATGTACTTTATTTGCTCAAGTCCGCTCGATAAATGGAAAATGTTGCTACTTTATTTGACCCATAATGAGCACTACCCGAAGAGCAAGTGAGAAGTAAAAATTGTGAAGTTCAATTTCCTAACCCCGAAAGGCGGCAATCGACATAACTCTCGCGCCAGAGCGCTTTTTCTTCCGGAAGTTGATCTACAGGTGCTAAACAATCATTTCACAACTACTACTTCCGACCAGGTTTTCATGTTTGAAGTACATTTTCTTTTCTTGCATAGCACTTCAGTGACGTTACATACATTAGTAAACTATGTTATTTGTACAGATGTATGCATATATATTTTCTTAAAGCTATGATATTACTGCATTGTATTTGTTTTGCATCATGGATAATATGAAAAGCATTTGTAACGATTTGATATAAGCATTATTGTTAACGTGTGAAATAACGAAACATAGATATACTGCATACTTAATAAATAGTCTAATTATAATCTAAAAATGTAAACTTCAAGGAACGGGCTGTCCAATTATTATGAAGCAATAACTTTTTGTAACAGAAATATGGTGTTCCAAACGTGTCACCTTTAAACGCCTAAGATGGCGGACTTATTGTGAAGGTGGGGGACCGGATGTGGCTGCTAGCGGTAGCTGCTTCTGATTTTTCCTCCGCCGCTTCGCTGCGTTTCCATTCACTGCAGACTGTCCCAGCCTACCGACAGCGAAACGGTAAGACTTATTAAAACAGCCCTCAGAGTCCTAGAATAGCTCGCTCTAGCCCGTAAATCACACTTTCTGTGGAAGATATTGTTAATTCAGTTAGGTTTTCAATTTGGGTGAAAAGAATATCGGCTAACTTACTGCTGTAAAGATTAACTTCTAAAAACGACCAGTTAGTTTACCGAAGAGAAACTTCCTATGTTCAGGACGGCCTTTTTTCATTCTTGATTTATAACCTGCTTGTTTCACCATTTATTATCATTAAGTTTATCGCTTTGTTTTAAAGTTATTTGCCCTCTGTAAGGAAAGTGGAAGCGATTGTCAGCTGTGAATTTCCGGGTGTGAGCCTGCTCTGAGCTGCCTGTGTTGGCGGTTAGGTAACGATAATGCCTTCAATTGCATTTAATAGTGCACACATGTAGTTTGTGTAGTGACTAGTGGACAACCCAAACTTTGCTCGAGTGCGTCATTTATTCAGCTTCCAGAAAACGCCATTGACCCCCCTAGCATGCGCACGGGGAGATGAGGAAGGTTTTTCTGCCACTTCCTGGAACTCGGCGGTCTTCTTATTTGATTCAGCTCACACCTAAAAAAACCTGCCACCATTTTGGCTTTTTGACGGTTTCCTCAGTTAAGTGCACACGGATCATTTGCCGGGATCAGAAGTCGCCTTGTTTGACTTTTGTGTGATAGTAAAGCTTAAAGGCTCTGCCTGATCACGCAAATCCGCCCTTCCCTTCCTGCATGTGATATATGGTAATAAAAAAATACATCCTTTTCTCCCTCCATCGTCAAAGTTTTAAAACTGTCATATAGTAAAAATCACTCTCTCAGCAGAGATGATGGCCGCATGTCTGCAGTTTCTATTCTAAATGTTTTCCTACAGCCCCAGGGTGGCACATTCAAATAAAAATGTTGTTTTTTTAAACAAAAAAGAGACTTTTGCTTGTCAGGCAGAAGTTCTACGCCTCTCAGCATCTCTTAGTAGGGAGTGCAAGGGTCAGAAAGTCCATCCCGGTGGTTAGAGTAGGATTAAAAAAGCAGGGATTCCTTTGCTGTAGTCCTTTTTCATGTCACAGTAAAATATGTCTTTACTTCTGTCAGTGTAGTGCTCCCCAGCCATGTTGAGTCATGTCGGTGGCCGTCTCTGTTTTCGCTCAGCCTCAGAGCATGAAGTGGTGGTATGCTAACCCCCCCACATCCACCATCTCTGAGAGGTTGAGAGGTCGTCTTCAACCTCTTGAGCGGCCGTGATAAGCGGCTCCTCTGTATCATTTTAACCTCCAATGCCTTTATAAGTGCTATTGAATTTAAATATACATATTTCTAATTCTTCAGTGGGATTTTCATTTGTATTTGTACTTTCATATAAGATTGCAAATCCTGTTCTTTGTGGAAGCCACAGCCTACTTTAGGACTGGAGGGTGCCTCTCTCTGGAGCCCTCAGCTGGTACCTCAGCCGCTCCATTTCCCCCATGGTCTGTGCAGGGATTTCTCGCTTGCCATTTTTAAAGCTTCCTATTTGTTCTGGTCCTTCCTGGGAAAGAATGTTTTTTTTTTTCCTCCCTTGCGTCTTGCAGCCCCTCCCTTCATTGTTTGTTTGATTTGTGCTGAGTCTAATCCAAACTGCATAGATATAACAATTTTCATGACACTCTGAGGAATTTCGATCAGACTGCTAGGTGAGTTAACTTTTTTTTTTGTTCTTGCTTAACTCAGTTTTCTACTTCTGCTAAGGCTGCATTGCGTCAGTTCTGGCCAGAGCCCTCCCTGCAACACTTCCTTAAAGCTTAGGCAAGTTTAGCTCTGGCTCCTCGATTTGATAGAGCCCTACACGTTTTAAAGAACAATTCCTTTAAGCATTTATTCTACTTTTTGACACCTACGTGCCCGGGCTGGCCTCTCAGACGTGCGTACAGAGGAGGAGTTGTGCTTTGTCTCTGCAGTGGTGCGGTTTGGCGCGCTAAAGGATGTGAATCATTTAGCTCTCGCATGAAAAAGGAAGTTTGCAGATATTTGACAGTCAACACACACCAGTCACAGCTTTGCTTGGATAAAAAAACAAAGAAAAATACTCCATCGTTGTTATCACAATCTTGCATAATAGAGCTGACTTGGCTTTTACACCGATTTCCACACTGATAGACTAAACATAAATCAACCTAAAAAACAGAATGGGCTAAAATCTTGCGGTGGCAGTTTGATTTGATGCACGTTAAGAATCTCCCCCCGTAGTGTAGTGCGTGCATGAGGCAGGCTCTAGCGCAGTACACACACACACACACACACACACACACACACAGGATACAGGATGTGATCAGCGTGGCTGCATCTGGGCTGTTGCAGAATCACTTATTCAGAGCAAATGAGGTTAGAATTCAGAGGCTTCTGTTCAGGAAAGTGAGCCGTGCTCCTTTAGCCGATGAGCCTTTATCACAGCTGTATGATAGGGGAAGTGCCCTTCCAGAGAGGCTGGGTGAAATGAAAGTCTAAAGGTCTCTGCTGCCCACATAGTTTTCAATGCTGCATGAGAAACATCAGAAGGCGAGATCAAAGCAGCTGCAGGGCCAAAATAAATGTCACCTCACAGGGATTTCAGGCGCCACTCATGTCCTGCTGTTGTCCATCTTATGGAAATTCAGGGGTATAAAGGATCAACTGGGAGATTTTCACTTCCGTATTTTGTCGTTGAAGCCGCTGTGGTTAAGCTGAGAAACGTGTGCGTTCTGCGTTACGTTCAAATGACCTTACTACCTTACTATTTAGAATCATTCTCAAAGCCAGTTTGTTTAGACATTTGAAAGCAGCATAGGGTGCAGAAGAGGAGTGTTTGAGCAGGCATTCAGGGTTTCTGTGGGCTTTGATTTGTTGTTTGCTGTTGCTGCCTCTCTTGTATTGACCTTTACAAAAAAAAAATTGAACATCAGCATCTGTTGCGTTGTGTTCACAGAGCCGGTCAGATTACATGAAATGTCACTTAACCTGATCGCATGCTTAAGATTTGACCTCTGGTTAGGTCAAACCGACGCTCGTTTTTAAAATGTCAAGATATGAAGATGAAAAAAAAATCACTAGTGAATTGTAAAAAGGAAATGACACAAGCTCCCCACAGTCCCAGTTTGTTGCACTTTTCTTGCTCGGATCAAACCCAAATGATACAAACTTAAAATGAGAGATTTTGTGCCACTGTCAGGGATGGGTCGATACATGATACCTCCCTTCTCTGTCGGCCTTGTAGGAATCATGGGGCTAGCTGCTGCTCCGCTGGGAGAATGGTTCGGTCGTTGTTATTAGAGTTTGAGGTTGAGCCGCCAGGCTCTCAACATGCCGTGCATAGTAAAGAATTCCCTTGTCCCTGATCTGCTACGCTCAGGGGAATTCCTGTCAAAGGAGCCTGGATTCCTTTTTTTTTTTTTTTTCTCAATAATCCCACCTTTTAGCAGACTCTGAGCTGTGTTGCTAAGGAACAGGCCCGGTTCAGGCCCCAGGCAGTCGGACCCCCGGCTGAAGGCCGCCGGTGACGGGCCTGGGGGCTGTGACCTGAAAGCCGAGCAGCACATCCCGTCCCATGACCGCAGAGCTGATTCCCAGCCGGCTGAACAATGATGGAACCTTTTCCTGGCTGCGCAGTGCGTTGCCGCTAAAGCACAACTTGCATTGTTTCAGCCAGAAAAGGAAAAAAAGGTCTATCATTACGAGGGTGCTGATGTCATCATTGTTAATCTTGTTTTACTGGGCTCATGTGTCTTTACTTTAACAAATCAACTGTCGCATAGCTTATTAAAATGGCATCTCTGATGGGGTGTTTTTGCAGCTATTACATAACACACTCGGATAGAAACTCTTCTGAATGTGTCGACAGTGAGAGTCCAGAGAAAAGTTTACTTTGTTTTGAGAAAGTTGACAAGTGTGAGTGTATAATTTTAAAAAGAATAGAATATCTTAATACTTGTAGTGTAGTGGGGAGGAAATCGGCCGTCTTGGCTGGAAAGGAGATGCCACCCTGGCTCTAAGCAGCTGAGCAACACCTCCGTCTCATTTGACTGAGCACTTCCTGCTGAGCCACATCTGTGTGCTGCACGAGCTATGAGGAAAAAACTACTGGTTCATGACTCTGTTTACCCCGCTCCTTCTCTCTGACCGGCTCAGAGGCCCCATTTTGGGGGGGGGGGATTAGCAGTGTTCTAAGGTCCTGTGAGTCCTGATATGTGTAGGCACAACAGGGTTAGACACACAGCAGCGAACCAGTTTTGCGGTCGTTCTGCAGGAAGTTTTTGTTATTTTCTATTTCCTCCTTCGACGTGCAGGTTAAGCTGGCCTTACAAGGCAACATGTGCCGGGACAGTCCTCCTTTGTGTTTGACTCTGCTGGATGTGGTAGGCGAGCAAATGACTCTGATTCCCATGTCAACCTGAAATTAGTGGCTGATTTATAGTCTTTTTTTTATTGCAAATGTACTTGGACCCAAATGGAGAAGTAACTCATCTCTCATCTTCATTTTTAGTTCATGTGCTGCAGCACTGATGTTGTTTTCCTGTGGGGCTTTCTTTTTTTTCCTTTACTAGTAATCGATCATTGAATAGATTTCAGACACTTCCCTTTCTGGTAATCTGCTCCTCGTTCCCTTTTTATCTGTACAACACCATGAGCTCTTGCTTTGTTGTACTTTTGGAAGTAGAGTTATTTTGTCGTATCACACAAATGTCAAACATTCGGGATATATAGCTTGAGGTCGTTATTTAGATTAGGGCAGACTAAATAAAAGCATGTTTCCCGTTTTTATTTTTAACTCTTCTTTCCTCACTTCTCCTATCCTTCTAATTTAGCCAGAATTCTAAAGTTCAGCTGTGATTTTCTGGAGCTGCCGGGTTGCTTTGTGCGCGGGGAGTTTTTTTATGGTGGGGGGGGGGGGGGGGCTTTGGCCAGAACCGGGCGAGAACAAACCTCCCACGAGTTATGAGGAGTGCCGTCATCCAGCTGGCGTTCGCAGGTGTTGGCCCGCTCTGTTAAAGTCCAGCTGTTATCAATAACTGTTTTTCCACCACATTAAATTTTCCAAACCATTCCTTTCTCTGAAAACAAGTGGCGGGCTCCGCGTGCAGAGGCGGCCGTCTCTTTCTACTCGTTCCCGTCAGCGCTGATGGGCTGTGACGGTCGTCCGTATAACCGTCTCCAGTGAGAGAGCGTGAGGCCCGGGGCACAGATAATCACCGGCTTACAGACCTCTGTGTGGCCTCTTACAAACCGCCTCCAAAGCCGAGAAGGGCTTGTGTCTCATGTCCTGGCTCTCGTCAGCCTGTGCTCACACATGTGTAGGCTCACACCGAGGTGCTCGACAGACAAAGGCCCGATGCAGTTGTAACCCACTGTGTGCCCCCCCGACCCGTGGGTGGTCCTTGTCTCCTGACTCTGTTTGGATAGAGAAGTTGTTATAAATTTGTCCGTTAGGCCTTATGGTGGAGTAACGGGCTCTACGTCCGTCCAGTACTTCTGCTTTTGGAGGTTAAAATGAATAGAAATCTCCCTCTGGTTGAGCAATCCTCCAGCGACCGGATGTCTCGGCCGCTCTGCCTCCCGCTGAACTCCTCCGTAGTGCATTTTCCTCCCGTCTAACCGGCCTCCGTCCCGCTGTAAGGTTTTAGCGCACCATGGCAGAGCAGGAGCCCACCCCCGAGCAGCTGGCCGCCATCGCCGCCGCCAACGAGGAGAGCGAGGCCTCCGTCAACTACAAGCCCCCCGCCCAGAAGAGCCTACAGGAGATCCAGGAGCTGGACAAAGACGACGAGAGCCTGCGGAAGTACAAGGAGGCGCTGCTGGGCAAAGCCGCCGTGGTTGCAGGTTGGTGCCACGGAGAGAGGGCGTTGAGGCATTTTGATTTTTGTTTTCATAGGCTGGTATAGAAATGACCAAAATCTTGTTGTCTGCTAAAACCTCATATTCAAAGTCTGGGACTTTCTGTCCAAAACCGCGCATAGTTGTTGTTTGTTGTACTAATAGTGAGGAGTATGGGGTGTCAGCTTATTTGTTGTGAAAACAGCCGGGAGCATTGACAACTGTGACCTCATCTTTACAAACAGACACAAAAGTAAGCACTTTCTCACAGCGCTATGACAACAAGCAAAACTCAAAGTGCCCTCACGAGCATGTCAAAGCAGCAGGTGTCTGCCGTGTGTTCACCTTCTCCTCAATAACCCGTCCACTACAACAGGGAGCCTCTGCATGCAAAGAAGGCCACTTTTCCCAGCACATCTGCTCAGTAGATGGATTTTCTTAATATATTTTCATATATTTTCTAACTCTTTTGTTTGGTTTTTGTTTAGATCCCACTGCTCCAAATGTCCAGGTGACACGGATGACCCTGTTATGTGAGACCGCGCCTGCTCCTCTGATCCTTGACCTGCAGGGTGAGTGTGGTGCATCAGACATGGCAGGTTTGGTCTGCGCAGAGATAAATGCCTCCGACGTCTGAGATCCCAGTGACCGAAAGAGGTTGAGGCCCAAAGTTTGCAGAATAAAAACAACAACAACAACATTATGGCACAACAGAAGGTCCCAGAGTGATCACGGCTAGTCCTGTATGTAAATAGAAACCCAGGGAGCCGTTTGGTCATTCGTCCACTAATTAGCAATGACATGATTCCTGGTTAACTGGGTTAATTAGCCATTTCCTGGTGGCTCTCTTTGTCCCCCCTCAGTGGAGGCGCTGAGCTACAACAGATCAGGAGAGCAGCTGCTCTTTGGAGGCTTTGTGCCCCCTGGTGGGCAGTATGGTTACTGCATTTGTGGGCTTTGTTTCTGGAGCATACCTGTGCTGCGTTACAAGACAACATTTACTGTGAAGGCAGGCATTCATCTCTTTGTTTCCTCTGGCAGGAGACCTGGAAAACTTCAGGAAGAACCCTTTTACACTCAAGGAGGGAGTCGAATACAGAATAAAGATAAACTTCAAGGTCTGAGTTCCCCCCATCGAACCTCCAGCAGCGCTGCGTCCATGTCAGTGGAAATAATTTGTTCCTTTTTGCAGGTGAACAGAGAGATTGTGTCGGGCCTGAAGTACATTCAGCAGTCATTCAGGAAAGGAGTTAAAGGTGAGGCAGCCCCATTTTTCTTATTTGTTTTGCAAAACAACCATAAGCTTAGCTAACTCACCAAAGCTAAAACGCACTTCCTCTTTGAAGGTGGACATAAAGACACATATTTACATAAATTTAGTAGTCCCATCTACTTCCTTATTAGCTTTGTGTGCCTGACGTAGTTTGAGACGCTGCTCTCGGCATCAGCAGGAAACATGAATCACCGCAGTGCTTTTTCCTCTGGCAGGACTTTAAGAGTGTTTAGCTAAACCCAGGTTTCTTTTGCAGTCTGTTTAGGTCCTGTTTGATGGCCAAAATGCGTACTGTAGAGATCAGTGGCCTTAGTGACAGGAAGCTGCCTTCCCTTAACAGCCACCAGCTTCATAAACAGCTCGTGTTTAGGACGTTGTGTGCAGAATGAAGTCAGAGCTGGAGCAGATGTGGTGCAGCCACATGCTCTCTGGGGCGATGTTGCTCATGGAACCCCGGAGTGTCCTTAAACCACTTTTCTCCCCCTCTTTGCCGTCCAGTTGATAAGTCCGACTACATGGTGGGCAGCTACGGGCCGCGACCGGACGAGGAATACGAGTTCCTCACGCCCATGGAGGAGTCGCCCAAAGGGATGCTGGTCCGTGGCACCTACAACATCAAGTCCAAGTTCACCGACGACGACAAGCACGACCACCTGTCCTGGGAGTGGAGCCTGGCTATCAAGAAAGACTGGAAAGACTGATTCCTCCCTTTTTCCCGCTCCTCTTTCAGCGTCTTCCTCTGCTTTGTCCGGCTTCCTTTCCTGTCTGTCATTCCGTGATTTTGCTTAGTAGATTTTTTTTTTCCTGCTTTTGCTCTCTCCGTCCATCAGCCCCTCAGCCTTGCAGTATACTTCTTGATTCCAATCTGATCATTCCTCCCATCCTAACGCTTCAATCGTTTGACATCCACTCTTTCTGATAAGTATTAAATCCTCAAAACACAAAAAAAAACAAAAAATGGAGATGGCAAATTATGTGCACAATCTAGAGTTTTCTTTTATGGTTTTGTTTATATAAGGAAAAAAAGTAAGTAAAAAGTATTATCTGTATGTGATTTCCTCTACTCTGTACCACTTTTTTCCTGCTGTTCCTTCTTATTTTGTACGATTACCACCATCTGCCTTGATAGCTGCATACAGCAAACGCTGGGGCATGTGGCCACTGTACCATCGCTCAGCAATCTTTGCTGGACACGACTCTTGGACACAGCCACGCTAAAGCTTTTGAGCAGATTATTTGTACTTGGGTCTTGTTAAAGTATTTGGAATTCAGGCCAATGCTTTTTTTTTCCAAATAGTTTAGCGCTGGGCAAACTCTGCTAAGAGAACGGGGGGGGGAACCCATTACCTCTAACCCTCTGCGAGCCCCTCTTTTTGGCCGCTGCTGGCCCCTCTTCTGATCAGGGTATTATGGACGTTTAGAAGCAGCCATGTGGCCTTAACTGATAGGAAGAAGTAGGCAGCATAGTTGAGCCATTTGCCTTCAGATTACAGTCAGTGTGAGCCTGTTTTAATACAACCTGTAATATGTGGACAGTGAATCAGAGCTAATGACTCCTAGTGTCTGACAACTTGAAAAAGCCATTACATGTAGGTAATAAACACCATCTTCACTCCAGCGGTCGTAGTGGTTTTAAAATCAAATAAATGAACTCTAAGGGTCCAGTTTGTACTTGTGGCTGTTCACCCAGTGTCCTCTCGGGTCCTGTAGGACGTTTCCAGCGTGTCCAACACGTCACTTTGCATTACTCTGGTTAAAGATGCAGCCTCCCTCTGAGGTGACGTGTCATCTGAATTCCACTTTCGAGTCAGTGTAGGAGCCTCAGTCCTCAGACAGACACCGGTTATTAACACATCCTGCAATATGAACCTGTTTTTTTGTTTTTTAAATCTACTCAAGTTTATGAACGATGTACGTTTGGCTTGGTATGTCATGGACTGATGGTTTTTCCTTGATGGGCTGGGTTTGACAACGTCTGTGACACCACCAGTTTACTGATGTCCTGTGTTCACATTAAAGTGTTCAGACTGGGAATTCTGTGTGTATGTGTGTCTAATTGTAAACCGATTGGTCATAAGTTAATTAACCTGGCCGCTGCATCCCTTACAACACTTTTAAATTCTAGTTCTCCTCGTTCAGGTTGCACATTTTAACTGATCAACCCATCCAAGGCCATGAAAGTCCTGATACTGGTTCACTCTGGCAGCCCGCTTTTTAGGTATTTAAACATCACTAATCATTCTGATCAAAGCTAGTGATTTATTCTTTTTTTTTTTTGTACCCGTTTTTAGACATTTTACATTTAATGTTATGAGATCCATGCTACAAATCAAGTCAACCAAATAATATATATTTTTTCAAATCATTTGGCTTTATCAGTGCTTCCAGTTAACACAAAGTAAATGGCAAAAATTACAATGACACACCACGACACCATCCTCTGCTCTGATGCGTACCAGCAACTGACGCCAAAAACGCCACACTGTGAAATACAAGATTTGGCAGTTTCTTATCAACAAGTAGCTTTTTTTTGTTCCGAGGCGCAAAGAAAAAACTAAAACCCCTCGAGCTAAGACTGGTCAGAGGTTAACGCGAGGTAAGGGAAAGGGGTGGGGTGGGGGGGGGCTCACTTGTGGCTCTTCCTGCTCTTGGAGGAGCTCAGGTCGCTCTTGGTCTTCTGCAGTCTGGAGAAGATCTCCTTGAAGAGCGCCTTGTACTCCGGCGTGTTCTGGCTCAGCCGCTTGTCCACCTGCTCCACCTGCCGGCTGATGCCCTCCAGGGCCTCGGGGGTGGACGGGGCCTGAGGGGGCGTGGGCGTGGCGGCGGCGGCGGGCGTGGCGGCGGTGGCAGGCCCGGGCTCGGCGGCGGCGGCGGCCATGCTGTACTCCCTCAGGGAGGGGTCCCTGGACACGGGCCGGGAGGTCTGCACGCCGGCGTGGCGCAGGCTGTCCTCGTGGCGCCGGCACTTGCCCAGCAGCTCCTCGTACTTCTCCAGCAGGGCGTGGTACTGCTCGTCCACCTCCCGCAGGATGGACATGCCCCGCTTGCCCCGCCCGCCGTTGCCGTAGCTGGCCGGCCGCCGCCCGCCGCCGGCCGACATGGCGTTGAGGGCCGTGTCGCTGCAGCTCTTGCGCACGGGGCCCTGCTGCCCACCCGCCTCCCCGCCGCCGCCTCCTTCCACGCCGCCGGCGGCGCCCTCCGGCCCCCCGGGCTCCTCCGGGGAGTCGGTCTCGGGCCCGTTGGCCAGCAGCGCCTGCAGGCCCTCCTCGGCCTCGCCCAGCAGGCTGAGCCGGGACCGGCGCAGCTGCTGCATCTCCTGCAGCTCGGCCTCCAGCTCCTGCACGCGCAGCCGGCAGCCCTCCGCCCCCAGCAGCCGCTGCTCCAGCCGCTGGAACTCCTGCAGCGCCGCGCCGCACGCCCGCTCCGCGCCCTCCCGCCGCGAGCGCTCGCCGGCCATGGCGGCGCGCAGCGAGGACACCAGGTCCCTCAGCCGCTCGTTCTCCTCGGCCGGGGGCCGGCGCTCCACCAGGTCCACGCTGCCCGGGTTGGCCAGCAGGAAGCCGTCCTCGTACCTGGGGGAGAAGGAGCACGCCGCTGGGTCAGTGGCGGAGGTGGACAGTGGTCAGCCGCCGGTCAGAGCCCCGGCGGGGCGGGGGTACCTGGGGGCCGTGCACAGCTCCTTCAGGCAGGGGAAGGAGTGCACCGTCTTGCGGCGCTCCTTCTTCTCCCGGCGGACCCTCAGCTCCTCCAGAGTCCTCAGCTCCTCCACCCGAGCCGTCAGGCTGTCCACCTGGCTCTGCAGGGCCTCCATGGTCCCGGTCAGCCTGCGCACACACACATACACACACACACACACACACACACACGCACACGGGGCCGCTTTAGGTCACCGTTGCAAAAGAAAAACGTGCTGAAAGCGAAAGGACACACGTGGGAGGAACAAACACACAAGTGTGTTTTAAAGCTTTTAGCTCTGATTTATAAACGACTAATCCCCGATTATGAAAGTTCGGGGGGGGCCATGCAGCAAGTGGCTGCTGAGGTGGGAAAAGTGGCAGACCAACACACACTGCTCTCCTATTGTGTAGTTGGAGGGGGGGGGGGGGGGGGTCACCTGTCGATCTTCTGGTGCGAGGCCTTGCTCTCCAGCACCAGCTTTTCGTTGGTGATTTCCAGCTCCCTGGCCGTCACGTCCAGCTGCTCGTACACCTTGGCGTGCTGCTCGTTCATGTCCCGCAGCATCTCCAGCTGCTTGGACAGGTACTGCAAAGAAGGCAGAGCCAACGGGAGTAAAACACGATGGCTGCTTTAGCTCTGACATCCAGACAGAAGCTGGACCAAGTGAGGTAATCCAGCTTCATTTGGTCGAGTGGAAGCACAAAACCTTACAATGTTTAATGTCGGGGAGCAGTGTGGGAATTCTAAGTGGTGTTTATTCAATTTGGACCACAGCTCAGCCATTAGCCTGATCCATAAACACTTGCAGGTCTGTGTCTGCAGGCTCCAAACATACCTCGATCTCCTGCACTTGCTCCTCATTGTTGATGTACATCTGCTGGAGGGAGTCCTCCAGCTCCTTGTTGCGCTCGAGGAGAGTCTTGCCGAGCTCTGCGGCCAGGTGCAGGTCTGATATCAGCCAGGAGAGCCATGCAGACAGAGACAGTGGACAGAGCACAAGAGCCGGATTAGTCCTGCTAAGAACAGCGCTTCTTAAATAATGTTTAATTCAATAAAACAAGGCTGCAGGGAGAAGATTTATGAGGAAGCTAAAACACAACTTTCTTTATTGGCCTTTTTCCTTTTTGAAATGACTGTCGCAGAACAAGAAATGTAGATCTGAAGTCGTTTTAGTCCCATGATTTAAAGATGGAGCTGGTACAAATGGCGGGATGCTAGCAAATGTAGAGGAATTGCAAATTGTGTAATGAATAATACTTTCAAGACAACATACTGTAATTGTGTTAGAAGCAAAAAAGTTGGAAGAAGTATGACTAAAAGACCAAGAGTTACAATATGAATGCTGGACACTAAAAAAAACATTAAATCAGCAGACACACACACGCGCAGTGGAGCCTTACAGGACTGAACAGCAGCTTGGACGGACTCAAAATGAAAAAAAGTCCTACGATCTGATCGGTTCGCTTTGGAAATTGTTAGTTTGTCTGTTTCCTCTCCAAACAGAGGAGTAACAACAGCTTTTGGGGAGCTCGTGCAGTCAGAGGACTACAGAGGCCTTCCCAGTTGCTGATATTTGGCAAGCTCAAAACATACATTATTCATCTCTGCTGAAGCAAGAGTAAATAGGAGGAAGAGGAGGAGGAGGAGGAGGAGGAGGACTGTGCTGGCTGAGCTCACTTGAAGCCCTTAACAACACAGCAGAGAAGCGCAGAGACAGTAACAAACAGGGCAGCCATTGACCGGCCGTGGCTGAGCATGAATGGAGGGGTTTCAGGGGCCGCAGTGTGGTTGCCGACGGCAGCAGCTCGGACATCCTCCCTGCCGGAAAACTGAAAGGATTGATAAGACGCATTGTTGGTTTATGGAGATCTGCTTTGCTGGAGGGCAGAATCAAACTCGCTCCGTTAGCTAACGTTAATGCTGCTGCTGCATGGGGCTGCCTTTTCCTGCTCCTGACCGGTGGGTGAGGAGAGAGCACAGCCGGCCTTCCCCCCCCCAGGCCTGCTCCCGTCACGTGCAGGGTTATGTAATCTATGTGCACGGGTGAGACGCGCCGGGGGGCCGAAAAAGGCATTTTCGGGCCCCCTGTGTGTGTGTGTGTGTGTGTGTGTGTGTGTGTGTGTGTGTGTGTGTGTGTGTGTGTGTGTGTGGAGCTGGCTGCTGGCGTTGCTTCATTACAACTAAAGCCTGAGATCTCTGATCCTGACTAAGGAGGTTTTGTCCGCTCCTTAATCAGCTCAGCCCAGAGGAGGAAGGAGCCGGGGGCTAATGAAATCTGGACTGATGCTGAGTTATGCTGAAAAGAAATACAGACACGAATACTGCACACACACACACACAGACACACACACGCATACAAATCCACCTGTCCCATGTCTATGATGAGCAGCAAAGCAGCTTTAGCTCTCTGGGTCAGCAGGTGATCAGATGGGGTGATGCTGAGGCCGCCGGTGGACAGGGAGAAGGCTCTCTCACCGGAGCACTCATCTCCGCTCAAAGTGCACCCATTTGTGTCAATTACTGCGAAATGTGAAAGCACATCCCGGGCCTTTCCTGTCTGGACGAAGCTGACCCGGCCTCGTCCGCTTCCTCCAGCCCCTGAAAAATGACTCCAGTTTTGCCATATATTCCTCGCGGTGTTCAGTCTTTTCAAAGGTGCCGTGCCAGCCACAGAACAGATCCAGATTCTCTGTATCCGTCAGCCCCTTCAAAGGAGTGTGTGCAGTGTGTGTGTGTGTGTGTGTGTGACAGATAGGACTCATGTGAGGAGGAGGAGGAGGAGGAGGAGGAGGAGGAGTGCAAGGGCGGAGGATGGAGCTGAGACAGAGGCCGCATTCACCCAGTGAGACAGCAGAACTATTCTGGGAAACCCACTGACAGCATCCGCACAAAGGACGCACAAACACAAAGACGCGTGGATGGGATTTGTTTTTCCCATCCATCCATCCATCTATCCCCCCTCCTCCTCCTCCTCCTCCTCCTCTTCCTCCTCACACCTGAGAGCTGACGGACGACATGCGCCTCACCTTGCTCCAGGTCCCGCTGGTCGTACCACGGCTCCTCCTCCTCCGTCACGAACTCCTCCATCCTTCCCGCACGGAGCATCGGTGCCAGTGAGCCGCTGCCCCGCCGGTGCCGCTCAGCGCTCGCGCCCCGGCCGGAAGTGACAACAAACAATAGCAGCGCCTCCTTTAAAGACGAACGGTTTGGAGGAAGAGGAGGAGGGGGAGGAGGAAGGCTCCAGCGCGCACCTGCGCCTTTCGGGACATCTGCGGGTGTAAAGGAGCCCGCATCCAGGAGCTCTCTCAGGGAGAAAAAGCAGCCCGGACGGTCAGCGGCGCGCGGAGCGGCTGCCCGCTTCCCATTGGCCGGCCTGGAGCTGCAGCGGAGCCCCGCAGACGCAGACTGACAGCAGCGCTGACTGCCCAGCGGTCAGATGCTGCTGCTGCTGCGTTCACGAGCTGTGGGAAATGCGAAGAGAAGTTTTCCTTTATATGAAAAGAAATGAGTAGAAAATCACTTCACGTTTTTGCTAAATGAATTTGCTTAAAAGTACAAAATGTTAACCTAGCTATGCCATTAATCCAATTACTTAATATATTTTTATTATTATTATTTTATATATAAACTGAAATTTCCCATTGCACTAAACTGGTCTTGATCGATATTTCTCCAGATTCTCTGAAAGAAAAATGTCGCGAGTTTTAACATACAAGACGTACAATAAACACGGACATCTCTTATGAATGTATCAATGCTTTAACAGCAGGCGCCATGTAAAAAACTACTCAAATTAATTCCTCTTTAGCTGAGAAATGATACAGCAGGACTTTTTGTCCAATTTACCCTTCTACTCTCATTTCCAATCATTATTATAGCTCTGTATTATAATAAAATGTAAGACAGCATGAGAATATAGGTTAGAAAGAGTCACTGAAAGCAGCAGCACTAGATTATGACTGCCTCCACCTACTACAACCTCTCCTGTAAATCTGAAGGAAGAAATGAAAGTATACTATCAGATAGGCTACAATACAATAAAAGAAGTCTAACACTCTGATACTGAGGATCACACTTTTTTATTCATCTCAGACCTTATTGTAAACACTGAGGAACTTTTGTCTCTCCACATATGTGTAAACATATTTGGATTTCCCCCCCATTTCAGACACACATACAGTACATACCTTTCACAGTCAAGGCAGGCACTAAACAGACAACAAAAATGAAGAAAAAAGCTTTTCTCAAGATATTCTTCCATAGCGAGACAGATCCATTTAAAACTGCATCAACTTTTAATAAAAACAAAATAACTAACTGAACGTTTTCACTGTTTCATGTCTACATGTAAAATGCACCATGTAGCAGCTATTAAATATATAAAGGAGGCTAACTTTCTGCACTACAAAAGTAATTGCAGAACACAGCTTTAGATTTAGCTAGACTTAACTGAATCTTTTCAAGAATGAAAGGATGACATTTGTTGGTGTAGAGTGATCCGGGTGGATCTTTTTGCACCATCTCCACAGTGTGCTCTGGCCGGGCTGTGTTATCACTAGCTTTCTCACACTTTCCATCACAGAGCGGTGATAATTTGACTCGCATACACTTGTAACCTGACTTTTTGCGACCTGCTCATTGGCACCATCATCATGTAAAAATGTCAGCGTTGTGTTTTTCTGTTTGAGTCCAACGAAATGCTGATCTTCACACACATTCCCCATCTGTCCCGCCCACTGAATGGATTAAAGATTATAACTGGTAAATATCTGACATGGGCATGTTAGTAGGCTGACAAATATTTATCTATCCCATTTCTATAAATGGTTCCTTTGTGACCTGACTGATCAATACGAGGAGCTGAAAACAGTTTTTTTTTCTGATAACCTAAGTTATAAAATGCCGGTTGTGAAGCAGCCCTGATGGCAGTTTGATGGCACACTGCCCGGGGCGACCTGTGTGTGCAATAACAGCCTCATAGTCGTATTCCTCCAGCAGCGTTGGGCCATCATGCATTTCAGGTACAGTATGTGTGATAATGCACTTATAGAGATTTGAAACATGGCTTGTAGCTGTTCACAGTGCAGACTGGCATCCAGAACCATGTCCCTGAGTGCAAAACAGTAAAGTCAAGTGTGCACAGTCTGTAGCAAACGTGCTAAAATGATAATGGGGCACCTGTACTGCAGATGTGCTCATTGCTCAGCCAGTTGAAGAGCTACCACGATGCCCATTGTACATTGTATTGCTTCATTACAGATATTTGATTCAACAGCAGCAGCCAAACAGGTTGGGGGGAGGGGGTACTTCTGCTGCAAACCTGCAGGCGTCTGTGAAAAAGCACTTGAGCAAAACAAGCTGAGAGGCACCCGCACGGAGGAAGGCTTTGACCCTGAAAATTGACTCCATTGCTCATCACTCCTGGTTCTCAGTGTTTTTAAAGCTATGCGGCCTTTTTAGATGCTTCCAGTCTGCCTCGCTCTCACAGCGCTGCACCCTGCTGAAGAACTTCTTGATAAGAACCTTGGCTTCAGATTTAACTGTGGACACAGAGATAAGATTTAGGGAGGAGTTGAGCCAAATCAGTTTGAAAATTGGATGTTTTTAACAGGACTTCAAACCACTTCTGACCTTGTTCTTTCCCCAGACTTCTACCTTCTGCTAGAAGGTGGGACAAGTAGCGAGCAAAAGACTTAAACAGCTCCTGTAAAAGATTCCATTCATCAGTTAAATAAATAGCCTGAGTGTGTGGATTCATTTTTTTCCTGCAAACTAAACAGGACACACCTTGGTGGCGAACTTCCCCTGTTTGTAGAAGGGGTCCAGGTAGCGGACGACCACATCGGCCGCCTCCTTCAGCGTCACGGCTCGGGGGGGCTCGCTGAGCGGCTGCAGAGTCTTCTCCTGCACGTTGGGGTTGAACCTCACTCTTCGGCTGGTCCTGTCGGCGGGCCGGCTGCGCTTGGCTGGGGGAGAGCCGCGTGGATCTCCATGTGCATCTCCTCCAGCGCGTAAGTCTTCAGCCAAAGAGCGGGGAGAACAGTCCAAGCCCGCCAGGTGACCCTGACCCACTTCTTGGTTCACAGGAGGGCTAGGCTCCTCTGCAGGTTGGTTTTGTCTGCTTAAAAAAAAAAGGAAGACAGCAGTTAGATGCGAGTTTGACGTTCTGATAAAACTGTGTGAGCTCATAGTCTGAGGGCATTACTCTGTTGTATCCTGTGGAGCTGCAGCCTGCTCCGGTTTCAAAGTCTCCACCTCATCCGCTTGCTCCTCTTCATGATCAGATACCACTATTACCTCCGCGTCTCTTTCCACAAGGATCAGCTCTGCGGCGTCTGACTCCAGGGCTGCGGGCGAGCGCTGCTCCTGGGTGGCGTTTTCTCCGGAAACCCCGGGGGAACTGAGAGGAAACGTACCCGGCGCCTCCCCGGGCGTCTGTGCCTCCTCACGCTTCTCGGCCGTTTGCTTCTTCGTGAAGAACTGGGAGATGTTGCGGGAGCTCTTGGCCGCCTCCGCCAGCTTCTGCTGCTTCTTGCTCGGGGCCCTGCCGGCTTTGGTGGGGCTGTTCAGGGCGGCGCCGGCCGCGTTTGCTCTGGCTCGGATGGACGCGGGCACAGCGGGGGTCGTTTCGGCCCTTTTCTCTCCCGTGGTCTTCCCGACCTCCTTCGTAGCCGACTCTCCTGAGCAAGCGCTGAGAAATCCACCGCTCTCCATCCCTTTGTCTGACGCGGGGGGCTTCAGCAGATCCTTGGCACTCATGAAGGAGTTACAGAATCCCCTCTGGCCTGCCCCCACTCTCTTTCGCTTCAGCTGGAGGGAAAATGAGGCAGAGCGAATGGGAAACCGTGGGTCTGCTGTGGAGGCAGCTTTGAGTGACTGTAAGTGCGTGGCGGGGAAGGCTTACAGAGTACAGCTCAGAGGCGGAGGTGAACACGGGCAGCTCCTCTGGACATGGCAGAGCAGAGGAGGATGCATCCCTCCCCGGTTTGGTCTCAGCCTCTCTGGAATCCCGGCAGCTGCCTTCACCTTCCTGCTCTCCTCGCTCTGAATCAGGCGCTGCCTTTGTCATCTCTGACACCTTCACATTACAAGATGAGAAAGCCATAAACTATCAACAGTATTATGGCTTACTGGGCATAATGATGAGGCACACAAACGTCTGCGGACACCTTCTTTAGGATGGCAGCTTTGTATAGATTACAGGACTTGCTGTTTTTGAAGACCTCGTGCTCAATTTCCACCGCCTGTGACGGACTGCACCAGGTGAGAGAAGAAGAGTGAAACCTCCTAAATGAAGGCTGGTTATTTTTGCTTTATATTTAATTAATCGTGGCTGAGATCTGCATACCTGAATGCACCTACTGCCCCCTGCTGGCTTTCCAGAGCCTCCTGCAGGCGGTGCAGGCAGTGCTCTCTGGTCTGAAAAGAAACATTAACTGACTTAATATCCACATAGTAAAATAAGATAAGACTCTCGAGTTTTATTATATCACAGCGGATTTTGTCTTAATCACAAAAAAGCAATGAAAAAGACATTTGAATGTTCGACAGGAACGCTACATAACATAACTAACACAGGCTGCCTCTTTTCCTGTGCTATACTGTATGCACACTGCTTTCTGATCCTGCTGCATTCTCTACCGGTGACAAAGAGTTCCTGGACACTTGTTAATGAGTGCAGCAGCTATGAGGAATTTGTTCGGAGCCTTCAAGTTTTGCCTTGTACCTTTACGGTGAGCCTGGGGATCCTCTGGCTGCTGGCCTCTCTGAGCGGGCAGTCGGCATCTGCACAGCGGGACACGCCGGTTAGAGGACGCATCGGCCCCAGGAAAACCCCCCACACTCACCGTGTTCCTGTTCCAACATTACCTGGTGGAACAAAGTCCCCCCTTTGAAGGTCAGAGGCCTGAGAGAAAAGAGCAGTGACACATGTTAGCTCTCTGACTCACACATAAACCTCCATCATCAACACTTCCCCTGCAGCGTTACTGGACCATGTAACTGAATGTTCTGTTACACACAGTGTACATTCAGAGCCAAACACACATTCAAATGTGTCCTAAAGCTTTGACAGAGAAGCATTTGTAATCTGCACATTTGGGGAAAACGGCTGCCATCAGCATGGATTCAGTCTCTCCACACTGATTCTCTCTGCTGGGAAGTTTTCACTGTAGTGTCAATACAACACAAACTATTTCCCCTCTGCATTGGATACCTCTGTCTCACTTTTACAAACAAAGCTACAGGCACATTTAAATGTATTCAGAGTAGAACGTGATGCCATCTGAACAAATCTGAACAGAGCTCAGAAGCCTGAGGGGAGCCCTCCGCTGTTCATCTGTTGTCTCTCTGGTGTTTTTACAGTTTTACAGTCGTGGCATTCCTGCCTCTTAATGCTGTGCTGTAAACTCGCTGGCTGGCCAGCCTCCAGAACCTGTTTTTCTTCAAATCTTGGGCCAGCGGTGACAACATGTGGGAGTGATTGAACAAGAGAAGCAGATTGGAGGGCCCCTTCAGCCCTGCTGCCAACAGCTGGCTTACAGATGTGTGGAGACTCAACACAAACACTGGATTTGTTTTTCCTGAAACACGGACACTGTACAGATATCTGCTGAGTATTTGTTAGAATTCACCTTCCGCAGGCCCATCTGCTTCTTGAAGAGGTCTGAAAACTCTTTCTTTCTCTTGACGGAGTCCTCTTCCCCGCTGCCCGCCTCCTCCTCATCGTGCCTGCGTGTTGGGACATCGTGTTAGTCAGCTGTCGGTGTTCAGAGTGGGCTGGATGCAGCCTGCAGGCAGGTTAAAGCGGGACACTTCACATCCACATGTCACTGCTCCTGCCTTTCAAATCCGTATCCCTTCTTCCCTCCCTCGTACAGGCCCGGCAGGAAGCCGAAGGGCCCTTCTTTCTGAGCGGCCTGGCTCCTGGTGCTGAGGGCAGACGCTCTCTCCAGCTGAGCTCTCACAGCTTTGGGGTTCCGGCAGCAGTCGCAGGCTCCTGCACAGTTGGGCCTCTGGTCCCCAAAGAACTTGGAGATGGCGGCATGGCGACAGCTGGGGGGGGGGAGAGGACACTTTTGATATAACACAGAGACGAAAGGCTTCCTGATACATGAGTGAATGTTTTTTAGCCGCCGTGGCTCCATCATAACAGACCTGCTGCTGCATCGACCCCTCAGCTGTTGTGTTACATCACAGACAAACACAATCAATGTTTCTGTTACGAATAAGTCACCAATCTCTGTCTCATCCCACAGAAAAATGTTCAGGTTTCTACCATGCTAATCTACGACATCTTGACTTCTATAGCCAAGTCGCCTTTTTCCCCACAAACTTTTTCTCCTAAAATCCCTGATTCAGCTGTGCTCTGACCGTCTGTGGTATAACGAGGCCGCTCTCATATCAGAAGCAGTGTTACATAACCGCTGATGCTCACACCAGCTCACACCCTCAGAGCCTGTGTGGGACCCAGCCCATCGGCGGAGCCACTTCTGCAACATGCTGCCTGCCGTTCTGGAGGTGGAAACTCTGTGTGAAGGAGGAGGGGAGAGGGGGGAGGCACACAGAGAGGCAACACTCACTCCCAGGAAGGGAGTCTGCCAACACAGCTTTTGAGGCAGGCAAAGAAAAGTAAGACACACGCAGAGTACTGCTGTGTGTGTGTCTCTGGCTAAAAAACACCAGAGAAGAAGACAACAGCAACAGAGGAAAAGAGAAGAGGAGAGAAAGATTCCCTTTTAGAGAGCAGAGCATTTTCTCTTCATGCACTTTTTTTTTTTACACCTGTCCTGAGGTCACAGAGTGGCTGTCGTCAGTTTTTAGACAGAGATCCTCCGTCCCTAACCTCTGACGGCGGGCCAGAGCTGCCCTCCTCTGAGTGACGCTCTGCAGCCACCAACAAACAAGAGGCTCAGCAGGCGACTCCGTCTGGGAACAAACGCCTCCTTCCTCACGTCTGCTCCTCATCTGCTGGATTAGTCCTTTCTGACACTCCGTCTGAACGAGGCTGAGCGGGAAAACAGCAACACCTCTCAGAGGTAAACGATTTCAGCGTGTGTGTGGACGAGCAGCACGAGGCAAAACGCGATCCGACCGCTGTGGGCCGAAGGTGAGGAGGGGAAGTCCAGACATGGACTTGTAGTTAAGCTAAACCAGCCTGTTTTCAAGTAAGAAGGACAGAGTAAGTTACCCAGGTACACAAAAGTCAGAAACTGTCTGTCTCTGGTCTTGACAATAAGTGGGGCCTGCTGGTTTCAGGATCCAGACTTCACACAGACTGGGAGGGAGCTCCCCCCCCCCCCTTAGCACTGAGCTGCTGTTGTTCACTGCTCTCTGGCTCAAACTCAACGTATTCCAACAGAGACAGCAGCATTGTTTGCATTATTCTGTGATGTCTTCTGTTACAACAAAACCACATGCTGTCACACCCTTTTTCAGAATGTGGTACAACAGCAAAGTCAACAGTGAATCCCACAGAAGCTGCTCCTCCAGCAGCCCCCACTGAGAGCAGCCGTCTGCTGAACACAGAGGAGGAGACCACTGCCTCCCAGCTGCCTCACAAAGTCTCACATCAGCCACTACGTTATATTCAAACACACTCTGTGTCCCCCCCCCGTAAACCTCCCACAGGCTGAATAAGCAACAAGCTGCACAGACACACAAACTGAGAGTGGGGTTATTTTCTGAGCTCCATTCTGAATCCATGTTATCCACTTTGTGTCAGAGAAGAAGCACCAACCTCTGGGTCCCTATGACAGGTGACTGTAACCTGAAAATAAAGTCCAGCTTGACCTTTTCCTGTCTGCTCCTCATCAGGATGGATGCCAGAGAGGAGGCGCTGGGCCTCCTGAACTCGATCTGGCTCAAGCTGCATGCTCTGCCCAGCGCGCACCCCGTGGAGCTGGGAGCCTTCTTCATCATCGTCATCTTCATGGGTGAGTGTGTGTGCTGCGGCCGGTTGGTGGTGTGGTTTTCAGAGCCGCTGACCGTCACCCCTGTGCTCTGCCTCAGTCTTGGTCCTGCTCATGATGCTGCTGACCTGTGCCAGCTGCTGCTGCTGCTGCCACCACAGGACCAGAGCAAAGCAGCCAGAGGCATGAGGGGATGTCCACACCGCCGGGATCCCCCTGACCGCCTGTGGACTCTGGGCTTAATGGCATCTACAGACAGGGAGATGCTTTAAAGCAGGACGTGGCTCTTTAGAGAACAAGGAGCCAAACGAAGCAGAGCTCCTTCTCAGGAATCCTGAGCGTTGGGTGTAAACTGAGAATGGCCGTCCCTTAGAGAACAAAGCCTCTGGCAGACACGGAGGAGGAGGCGCTGACGGGCTGCCGAACAGGCCGGCCGGAGCTGCCAGGCTTTCAGGACGGTCAGCATTCCTGGGAGCATCCCTGCCCTCTGCAGAGCAGCAACAGCACCTGTGGCCTGAGGAGGAGGCAGCGTCCAGCCTGGCTGCTTTTAAATTCTTTGTAAAGCAAATTGTCTTGTACACGAAATGTGCTATACAAATAAACTAGCCTTGTCTATTTTCCCTGTGAGGGAAGTGGAAGTGACAACTGTGCATTCAGTCAGTGACATTATTCAAATTGTTTTTAAATCCTCTGAAGAAAGACTGGTTCTTAAAGCTGAACATGCTTCTTGATAACAAAGTGGAGCTGAAGCAGGAGTCTGCCCTCTGCTGTCCAGACACTGAAAGGACTGCAGAGCTTTTCAGGGCAGAAGGCGCTTGACTTCTTATCGTGTTACTTGTTCTGATTTCTATGCAGAAACTAAAAACAGCCTTAGTACTTTGTGTGCATTACCTACCTCTCTTGCTCACAAAACGCCACCATGGCTTCAAAGTCAGTGATGGCGGATTTGTCGCTCTCCTTTGCAGAGCCACGTTTTTCCTGCCGACACAAGTTGAGAAAAATGTTCACAGACTTCCAAAGCGCTGGACCTCCTTCCACCTGCAGAGCTCAGCTGTCGATCTGACCTGTTTGCGGTTGAACTCCTGGCGGATGAGGAAGTTCATCTGCTCTTTGTCCTTTGGGGAGTAGTATGTGCGACATGAGGAGGGCAGACCATCTCGACCCGCTCGACCGGACTCCTGGTAATAACTGGCCAGGGACTTTGCGAGGTTCCAGTGAGCAACGAATCTGCAAAAAACATCAGTCCGCACAATCAGAAGGCGAAATCAAATTTGGCTGAACGTAAAACCCCCTCAGATCTGCGGCCTTACCTGACGTTGGCCTTATCTACTCCCATTCCAAAGCTGATGGTGGCAACAATTACCAGCACCTTCCCCTGCATCCACTCAGTCTGGGCCTCTGTGCGGTCTCCTGCCTTCAGACCTGCAGGGACCAAAGTCAAACACATGAGCCCAAATAAGATTAAGCACACCCAAAGACGCTTAAACTTTCTCACCTGCGTGATACGGCTTGGACAAGATTCCTAGCTTGGTCAGCTGGTGAGCCACCGTTTCACAGCCCTCTCTGGTCCGACAGTACACAATCCCACAGCCCTGTTCACAAACGGTAGCGTAAAAGAAGCCTGCGTCTTCATGGAAAGCATGTTATTATTAATCTGCATCTGCAGCCATAAATACACACAAAAATAGCCATATGTTCCAGTTTTAATGCTTCCTATTAATCTTCGCAGCTCAGCAGAATGAGGACGCCGAGTGAATGTCGGGATTGAGTTGTAATGCCCTAATTCTGACGAGTGAATTAAAGAAGCGTTAAGGTTTCAAATCTGCTTATGCTGAACGGTGACACTTGTCAGTGTCGGATGTTCAACAATTCTTCGATCTGACAGGAGGATTTAGGATAAATCCCTCCGATCAAAAAATTTCTCATTTCTAGGCCAAAACTCACTGAGGAGTTCTTCTGAGGTTTTCTGAGAATGGAGCCTTCAATGAGAATATTTGGAAAATATATTCTTTCATAGATGCTGGAGAGCACAAACTGATTCTATTCAGAAAATGTGGAGAACAAATGTTTGAGAACGCTTATAAAAAATAATTATTTTTATGAGATAACAATTTTATGCCATACCATTCCATTAACCAAAGTACTTTACTGTTACAGTGAACTCATTCAAACACCAGAACAGTGGTGGAGGTAAACATCCCACTGCCTGTAAAATGGCCCAAGACACAACAGGAAAATTCCAAGATAGACTACTCCAACAAACAGAGTTAAGGTTTTGTTATAATAATGAAAAATGTTGGATGTCTGAAAAGTCTAAAACGCAAAATGGTGTAAGAATGTGTGAAAATCCCTTTGAAAAAAAATATTTTGATACAACGAAAAGCATCTGCAGGCTCAGATAATTCTGCAGGGTCCAAAAACAACAATTACAAGAGTAATTTTCAGTTTTTTGTTTAGAATCATCAAAGGTTTGACGTAAGAAAGTAATTAATGGCTATCATGCAAACAGAATGTTGGGTGTTTAGAATAATATTTACTATTCAAAATGACAGATAGCTAATTACTCCTGTAGAAAGAAGCTTCTCTAAAGAATCAAAACACCTAGAAAGTTTGTGATTACTCGCCTGTGCATTAGAGCCACTGCTCATTGCCAGCGCCTTTTTAATAAAGGCATGGAGGTGGGCGTACGGGTTGGGCAGCAGCTCCCTGAAGATCACGTCATAGTGCAAATTACTCCGGAAAACGGGCGTGAGAAAATACAGCGGCGAGCGCAGCCTCAGGGACTGAACAATGTCTGCCTGTACGTTTTTGGAGGCCGTTGCTGTCAAAGCCAAGCAGGGGACTCCCGGCAAGCGATCCCTTAGGTCGCCCAGCTTGAGGTAGTCCGGCCTGAAGTCATGGCCCCACTGGGAGACGCAGTGGGCCTCGTCCACAGCCAGGTAGGACAGCAGGCCGCGGGAGCACAGGCCCGTCAGGCAGGGCTGGAATGACGGCGAGGCCACCATCTCTGGGGTGATGTAGAGAAGCTTCAGCTTTGGACTGCTGCTCCCCAGGTCGGCCAGGATGAGGCGGCGTTCACCTGCCGGGAGCTTGGAGTTGATGGAGCAGGCGGGGATTTTGAGCTCCTTCAGGTGCTCCACTTGGTCCTTAAAAAAAACAAAAACAAATAAGTTCTTTATATAGTGATCTACATACCGAAACACACCTTTCCTCCATGTCTTCATTTAGCTTTGCTGCTGTGTTTGGGCAGCCTGTATTTTGCAGACTGACCTGAATGAGAGCGATTAAGGGGGATATAACCAGAGTAATACCCTCAGCCAACACCGCAGGAAGCTGGTAGCAGAGGGACTTCCCTGCCCCGGTGGGCATACACACGAACACATCCCTGTCACCTACAAGAAGACCAAAGGAACCACTGTGTGACACGTAAACCCATCTCTGTAGTCACTGCCTGAGCCAGTGGGATCAGCTGAACGGTCGACCGTTGTCAGTTGTTAACGCCAAATCAGCAAACAGCTAAAAACAGGTTTTCTTTTACTGACTTACCTCTAATGGCTGCCTTCGCAACGTCTTCCTGTAGCTTCGACCTGAAACTGTCGAACCCGAAGTGGGTTTTCAAAGCCTGTTCTAAACTTGTCATTGTTTCTCTATCTTTGAAAAGCTCATGCAAAGCTCTTCGGTGTCGTCGCCCACTGATGACGTAGCTGTTAGATACACAAATACCGAATCGAAAATGAAACTTTTTTTTTTTTAATCAGTCGTTCATTACAGGCACCATGCCATCTATCTATCCCAAAAAGTTTTTTATGAGTTGAAAACACACACTTCACTTCACTTTTTCGTAGTTTTAAAAAAGGGAGTGAGCTGTGGCAGCTCTAGCATTTAGCAGCTTAGCATCCTGGTCGGAGCAGTGATTGGCCCAGCTGGCACACACCTTCCAGCTGAGGACACTCTGCACATCCATGACACCCACTGGCAAATAGTGTGGAGTTATCTGGTTTGGAGAGTGTTCACTTAGTATCTCCCAATAAAACAACTGATGGCATCACAAATATGCCATTATTATTTCTGTCTCATAGCTGATTATTCTGGTGTTGTAAATCACACAAAGGAAATGTTTCAGAAAAAATCTGATGCCAAAAAAGAAAAACGTTTTTCTTGCAGTTATGTAAATATTATATGAGAGAATTTCAGAGATGTTTGCGCACAATTGGTTGTAATTTCTTAAACGGTATAAAAATAATGCTCAAAATGTTTCCACCTAATTTATGTTCATAGTCAACAAGTTATTCTTGATTTAAGTTGGAAAAAGATCACTCACTAAATAATTCCTATTTTAATGTCTGATGCACTAATACACACACCAAGCATTAAGACTGGATTTGGTTTATTTATTATTCACAGAAGTGCATTCTTGTTGCAGGATTAATATGGACAGTACATAAAATCTGAACCGTGGGTTCCCTCTCCTATATGAAAATACATGTAAGCAAGGAGAAGCATTATAGCTCTACAGGAAATACATGGTAGCAGCAATCACATTAAGGGAGAAGCAGCACACAGAGTGGTCATGTTGAGGAGCTATTAGATAGCAAAATGATGGCATTTTACACCAGAAGCTCTCTAAGCGACTCTGGTTTATTAGATATATTGTGATATCTACTGGTTCCTAAAGGAAACTGCCGAGGGAAAACTTAACCCCACAGACAGGATGTGGAGCAAAGACAGTGGGTTTTGGCTGCTGGAGACCTGATCACCAGATCCTTGATGATCTCCACCGTACCAAATAAGGGGAACAGCCTCTCGGTGAAGGTCTCGTTGTAGGTGTAGATGTGCAAGTGTTTCTCCACGTCGTAGAAGGACAGCTGGCCGTTGTCATAATCGAGGTAGACGCCCACCTTGCGGGGAATGAGGCCGGGCGGCAGAGAGGTGAAGGGCACCGTCAGCGCCTTCAGCTCGGTGCCTCTCTCCAGGCGAAGGGTCAGATACCCCGTGTCGGTGTTCAGGGACTTGAAACCCTTCCTCAGGGCCGACTCCTTGGCCACCCCGAGTCGCCAGTCACGCTCGCCCACTTCCGCCTCCCAGTAGTGGCGACCGGAGCCCAGACCCTCCATGCCCACAGCGCACCACCAGCCATCGAAACGCTGGTGATAGTTGGGAACATCTTTCCTCTCAAACCCACAGCGCATCTTCTTCTCGTCGGCAGAGATGAGCAGGTCAGGGTTAGCCGAATCCAGATCCAGGGTCACCTCCACTGCAGGGAAAGTCCAAAGATTTATATTACCTTTATATTACCTTCGGATTCAAGTGACTTAACTTGTAGAGTAAAGCTATTGTACCTGATGCATCCACAATCCAGTCCCAAACTGAAAGAACAAAATAAATGTTTGTCAGATAGTTTCTGCGACACAAGCTAACCTAATAACAGCACCATGTGGTCAGTCTGGATTTAATTGTCATTATTTAGAAATCACATACATATAACTGTGAAGATAGACATTGAACACAAAATGTTAATTAAAAGAAAGTCAACAATGTTTCAACCACTTTGGTCTAAAAAGTGCTTTTTGAATACTAAACTTGTAAAAATCCTCCCAAGTATCTTAATATTGTTTTCCGAAGAGTGGTACTACGCTAAAAATCAGAGTAAAATCAGAGTAAAGAGAAATCACTATTAATGGAGTAAAATTATGGTGAGACAGCAGTGATAGAAAGGTGGAAATGATGGTATTTGAGTACTCAGAAGACATTCAAATTAATTTAAAATGATAACAATAACTGAACAGTTGGTAGAATTTTTCCCTTGGGTGTATTTTAAGGCAAAAGGTTCAATATGCCTACCCAAGAGACATGTCCTGTGATTCCCTGGGTACTAGGCCAGTAGTAAACTAGTAAATATATCGGTTACACAAAACCTTTTAAATGACAAATTTGATCACTCCTTTGACAATCTTTTGTAAGAATGTGTATTTTCAGTCACACTCACCTGGCTGAGGGATGTAGGATATGGCACCTGGAAGGACATGATGAGATTCATCAGGAAATGAAAATGCTCAAATGTCCAACAAAATAGATTTAGTGTTTGACAAACCAATGTTGTGAGTCCTTTGCTTCCACATCAGCCACTGCAGCGGTATAGTGTCCTGCAAGAGGAAACAGACAATGGATTCTATGCACACAACGAAACAGGCGTACCCTGTGAACCACACCGGAGGCTCCTACCTTATCAGGCCGCTGCAACACTAAAGTCCACATCACCAGCTCCATGGCGGTCAGCAAATTGGGCGCGCGTCCCCAACGCCAGGCGGACTGCATGTCCTCCAGGGCCTTGGCCACCGGCTCTCCAGGCCACACACTTTGCTGCAAGAAAATGACATCATCTGCGTATAGAAAGGAACAGCTGATCAGGAAAGGCCAACGGTACCGTCCAGCTTCTCACCTCCGGCTGAGCTCTCAGATCTTTGATCCAGTTGAAGATCAGAGTTTTGGCCTGCTGCAGGTCCAGCACATTGACCACATCAGGCTGCTTGCCCTCGTCCATCTCCGGCCAGCCATCGGTCTGCATGGGCCTCTTCTGCACACAAACATACAGACCTCAGTGGAATGCGCTGAGAATGTGTTTTCATGTCTCTCATAATTTCCCATGGAGACCAGTTATCTTTCGAATAGGTACCTTGCTCTCCAGCATAGACGCCCATTGCAGAATGAAAACCCTGCAGAGAGCAGTTGTCCAGATGTCATCCTGGTTCCAGATGTGCTCCAGGACATCTGATCTCTGAGGGAGCAAAACATAAAGGTAATCATTACAGGAGTAATCTGTACAAAACTACCATCAAATTTAACGAAATGAAGGTTAGAAAACATGTTTTTCCTTTACTTCCTTTCTATTTCCAAGTAAATATTTTCCCAAATAATTATTATTCACTTTTAACAACTGATCAAGAAAAAAGGGTAAATCTAGATATGAGTCATCCCTCAAGGGAAGAGATTAAGTTTTATAAGTTGAAGTTTTCAATTCTACTTTGGTGGCTGAATAAAGGAGTGAAGATTCTTTTGAAAAAATAACTAACTAAATCAGCACGCCTTCCCTGCAGTACTTTGATGCAGCATCTCTTGTCACCATCCATATTTTTTGCTGCTGCCTCTTTAAGGCTCCCCTCCCTGTGAGCCCCGCAAGTTTGAACTCATCAGCAGATTTAGCCAGAAAGATGGCGTGTGAAGCTATCAAGGTCATCTGGGAGGTAAAATATCTCTTTAAAGGGGTAAGGGAAAAGATTTTCGAAAGGTCTAAAACCATTAACTTATTTTATCGCAGGCGTATAATGACCTTATTAAGATGATGGAAAGCCCAGTGACAAGAACATGAAAACTTTTGAAAAACTCTGAATTCCCTCAGTGGTGTAGGTAGCACCTCTGAGCATACGCAGTCATTTACCTGAACACCATGTTGCCACAGTTCTTAGTGCTTGTCTTTAATCATAAAAATATCTTCCAAAATCTTTTTTTAAGTCTTTCCATCCTGTTTTTTTCCCTTTTTACATGTGCACAGAATCCCAACTTGTAACTGTCCAGATGTGGGAGTGTCTAACAAGACATCCTGACCTTTACTCCCACCTACCCACCTGGCACACTCGGCTGAGGTCTCTTGCCAGTTCCACAACAAACATCTGATCCTCATCCAGAGGCTCCCTCTTGTCCCTCTTTGCTCTCTTGTTTGATTCCTGTGAATTAAACACAAAAAAAAAAATCGTTTTTTATTTGTCAGAAAGTATCAGGAAGGGGAAAATGTGTTAGAAAGAAATGGAGTAAGGACAGTAGTGCTGACTAAAAAGTGCTTTAGACAGTATTAAGGTCAATGTCAAGATGAGGAGTTTACTCGGCCTGATCCAAATATGCACAGAGGCTCTCATGCTGCCCGCAGAGCAGAGACCACCCCCCCACCCACACCCACACCCAGAGCATACAGCAGCTCCACTCTTCTCCATCAATCCAAAACTGCATTTGTGCAGTCATGTGGGACAAAAGCAGGGTTGCCATGTCCTCTGATTATTTCAGAGCCCGCGTGACCAGAGAGAGGTTTGCACACAAATAAATGTTTTGTAAGATGGAAAAAAAAAAAAAAAGTTACCTTTATCTTGGCCGTAAAGTTTTTGACCGGCTCCACCATGAAGTGAAAACACTGCATCATCATGGCTGCTGTGCGTCGCTATCCTGTAAAGAAAGACACAATTTCAAGCTGCTCTGTAGGTATTATGTTCAGGTCTTACATAAAAGCAGGAGTTCCACTGAATTATTTCTTTGTTAGCGGCTCCAGTGATCCGAAATGCAGGAATCCGTGTTGACAGCTTTCGCTGACACATTAACGGTCAGCTGGCAAGAGCAACGTATCTGAGGAATTTAAGGGCTAAACCTTCCCATTTATATTAACCCAAAAGGAGAAATAGCCTTAGGTCTCAGTCCAATCACAGCGCCGGTCTGAAGTCCTTCAAGGTCAAAGTTTGGCAGTGACCGTCCTTTGAGCAGTCAGGCTGCTGATGTTTACCTCCCAAACAGCCCCACTCCGTGGAGATCACTAAACATGTGACGGAAACTCTCCTTCGACGCTGGGATAACAAAACGCCCCAGTGTGATCACACAACACCTTCTTAAAACGGGGACGGATGCTATGGCAGCGGCTTTAGGAAGCAGTGGCAAAAAACAAACACAGTCAAAGAATGACTCCCTCCACAAAGTGTTTCAGTAGGGTCACAGATTAGGACAAGGAGCAGAAGTGATCAGTAACCCCCGGCGGGATCAGGCAATAAAGCCGGTCAGGGCAAAACGTGACAGGGCCCTGCGTGCCTCCGGCTAATCGCCCTCATCTGCCAGCCCGCGTCCTTGCAGAGCCCCTCTCTCTCTCTGTCCGCCTCACTCTTTTCTGCTCCCAGCACTTTCTCCCGCTTGTCTCCTGCAGAATAATAGAAGAGCTTGGCCCCCTCATCCTTTGGCACTGAAGCAGCTGCGATGACCAGTCTGAACTGGTTCTCGTGTCCAGAGAGGGGGTGATGTGATGTCTGCGCCTGCATGCCAATTCAAACCCTATTCACGCGCTTCCACCGTTTTTTGTGGATGCAGCTTTATGCAATTAAGGCAAAGTCCCAAATTAGCTGAATCAAACTGCAGCACTCTGGTGTCTGGACACAATAACTATGCACCAAAGTTCAAGAGAGGCATACGCAGACATTGTAATTGAGTCAGTTGTTTGCACCATATGGAGAGATTTATTGGTGTTGTGGGATAACCATGACCACGCAGTTTTCCCAGCCTGAGAGTGACCCAGTTGGAGAGCAGCTGATGACTGCGCACAAGGTAAACAGGCACCAGCTGAATGACTCTGCGGTAGATCTGCAGCCTACCTGCAATGACGCTCCAAACACACGATGCAAACTAATTCCTTTCTACCTTTGCACCTAGACTTGTTTCACACATTTCCTTTTGTAATGACGCACGACTTCCCCCTATGCATTCAAATAAACACAGTTTAAATAAATAAACACATGAAAATCCGCTTACCTCACTCGGACGTTTCTTCTGGCGGTTTGAGTTTCTTCTTGCTCGCTTTTTAGTGGGATCGCCCTAAGGAAGCGAGTTTCGCGTGTCTGCTGCAGCGTCTCTGACCTTGTTTACATACCAAACTGACGCTCGGCTGCTCGGGGAGGTTCGGTTTTCTTCGGCAGTGACGCAGGTGACCCTCCAATGGGCAGCGCTCTCCGCCGGCCCGGTAATAACGCTGCCGCTGACACAGCAACAGTGGAAAATTTCTTTATTTCTGTGCTCAGTGTCATCTCCCTGTAAGCAATCGTCTCAAATGCAGAAATGATTGGAAAGTACTTCTGCTACGGAGTCCATTAAGGGACATTAGTGTGTTTTTATTTCCCTTTTTTCGTTCCACCGCAATAGCTTCTGAGTCATATCACAAAAACCTTGTCTCCTGGGTTAGTTCTTGACACTTAGACAATGCTGACGTTTTTGGACGTTGCTTTTGCAGCTTATTTATTGTACTTTGGAAGACAATGGTTTGAATGAACAAATCTGAATTACATTCTAAAGAAGATAAATGTCCTGTCATTTGTAGAACAAATATCACTCTCAATTTCCCAAGATCCTTCATGAGAACCAGAATTAAAAAAAAACGGTGTGGCATGAATTCCCTTACAGAGTATATACCTCAAATGTGAATCATGGGATTGGACATGGGTTTGCTTTAAGGCCACATAAACAGGGCCTTTTCTAGTCAATGATTGAGCTATTAAACCTGTATTAAATTATGCAAAATACATTGAGCTGCTACACATTAAAGCTCTAGAAATTATATTTGGAAAAAAACCTAGTAGCATTCATTGCTGCAAGAACTGAAATGCATTGAGACTTACCAGGGAGCTGGATTAGTTTAGATGCATTTTAAATTTGGTCAGTAGGGGTCATTGTAAAGCTTTCTGTCAGAGCAAATGTACAAAGATATATAAATTCTTTTGAATTTTGTCTCCAATAGAAGGTGAATCTGAATGAAGATATGTGATTATTTAATTTTCTGTGAGTGAAAATGAATACAAGCTAAATTCAGTTAAACTTAATGGAGAACTGGAGTGAGACCTGATCGATCTGTTTGACTTTGATGCAGAACTGATTCACTTCTATTTAAAATTCCAAACATACAGCGATGGTTTTGCTTGAAGGACTCTCCGCTGAGTCTTTGTTTTTCATTGAGCTCTGCCTTTAGACCAAGCTAATCCTGAATTTTAAATCAAATCTAGCAGATTAACCATTTAACATTGAGGAGGACTTTACAGATTTCACAAAACAGACACAAAACTAAAGTCAGAGCAGTGACAGTGACAGAGGAAGCGAGCACTTTCTATGTGTCTCTAATTGTTGACACCAGTGGCCAACCGTGAGTTGACCACATGTTTCGAGGGGAATTCCAGATCATCACAGATAGTAACATCACTGTCTTGTCTAAAGAGATGCGTGTGATTGTCAATACTGCAAGCAGCCAATGTTAAATGTTTTTGTTCCTAGAATCAGCACAACTTATGCTGCCTTTTAAAACAATATCTTGTCATTCCATTTGTAATCTCTTCAATAGCTTTCATTTTCTATGCAGTGATATCATTTCTAGGTTTGGGATTCTAACAATCCTATTTCACCCCCTTCTCTTTGTGATACTTATACCCATCAATAACTTTAACATTGCAGATGTTCCATTCGTTTAACTTTAATGAAACATTACTTAGGTTTTTGATGACTTTGATCTCCCTTTTGTGTGATATTTGCCACTAATTAGTGGTTTTTTGGTGGGATATAGACTTTTAAAAGTAATGTGGTCCATTACACTACACAACTTCATGTGGGACTAATGGAGAATTGGATATTTGTCTTCATAGGTATGTACAAATGTAAGTACAATTGATTTCATTTTGAGGCAATTCCACATTTTTGCATTTATATGTGAGGAATATGGACATTTGTTCTAGTAAAAAAAGTTATTTAAATGTTTATTGAAGAAATGTGCAGTTTTTTTAATCTCTGAAGCAACTCATTAGCACTTTTTTAAATTTTGTAGACTTTTGACAGAAGCGTTTTGTTAAATATACACAAACTCCAACAAAGTCATAGAAGCATTTAATGAACTTTTTTCCACAGGTTAATGTGATGGCAGACTTTTTTTTCAATAAATAAAGCACGAGACTCACACGTAACAAAATATGGCACAAGTACACGGTGAGTTGTATATGAAATAAATTTGATTCGAAACAAAAAGAGAAAAGAAATTTTGGAAAAATGTAACGTCAAAACTTGGGAGTCCATTCTTTACGGAGAAATCAATTGTGGCAATATTTCTACAGCTTAGCTTTAATCAAAGTGAGTGAATTACTTGAATATTATAAGTTCCGTGGCACTCTCCCCCCTACTGGCTGAACCTCATGCTGTGGCCAAAACACAGCCGGGTAATGGCTACCATTATATAGCAGCTCTTATTAAAACAGACTCCAAAATGAAAGAGGATCAAGGAGTTTCTGGTTCAGGAGCAGTAGAATAAACGAACACACAAAAGTTCATGAACAAGGCATGATCCACATCCCTGTAAACAAACATACTGGCTCCTCTGTTCCTCTGTTTGGTGAGGTGAGGTGTGGTCTCCTGGATGTCCAGTGTTTTGTGAAACTCATCTGTACTGTCAAACATTCAGCTGTGCCATCAATGTGTTCTATCTTTGGATGCTCCTCAGCTCATCCTTAGCTGTCCAGATGACAGAAAAAACTTTTCAGAAAGCTGGAAGGGACAGTGTGCAGGATCAGGTTCACGATCACAATCGGATCAATCTCCTCAGCACGGACGTTTTCAAGTTTGGTTTTCCTTTTCTCACATTCATCGGAGAGCTTGAGGACTCGCTCGACCTCACACAGCAGGTAGAACGGTGTCGTCACCATCATAGCTGACTTGATGAGCTGTATCAGTCTGAACAACAGATCCGGCGCTGGTGTAAGATCTCGGAGGAGGGGAGATGTCCGACCCGGGTGAGAGGATGTTGTATGGCAGCTCCACAGAACAACGGATGCTCTCTTCATACGTGGGAGGAGGCTGCAGGCAATAGAGAAAAGAAACAAGACACACTTCTTTAGCAAAACATGCTTAAAAGTGGGTTATTTCAGAACTGGTCAAGAGACCATGGCCTGTTTGGTAGAAAACAGGAACTACTGTCGCTTCAACAGTGATACTGAGGGAACTTTGGTCTCAGTAAGTATGTTATCACTGAAGAGAAACTGCCTGAAAATGCTTTTAAAAAAGGCATTTGACGCACTGTCTAAATGGACAGATTTTCAATCACAATTTGTGTCACATTTAGCCTTCTGACAATACAGTCATAAAATATACTGATAGGGGCTAGATATTGCTTAGTTGATGAGTGAATGCTGGTGAGTGATGACTATAGGAAGATGGCAACATCAGTACTCATCATTTGTCAGCAGTCTGCGGCCTGATGTTTACAACCACAGTGACAATTGGGCAGTGTGTAAATCAAGCAAAGTGATTGGCTGGCGCCTGCCTTGCTAATAAACTATTCTCAAGTTTCAACATCGAGAGACATTAGCAAAGAAAAGCAGCAAACCCTGAATCAACTTCACAATGTGAGACCTCACCCAATTCAAAAGACTGCAACATGAGCTTGTTGACATCTATAACTCATACATGTGAGAGCAGCCAAGAGGCATTATCCCAAAAGAGTTGTCCCATTGCCCCGTCAAATATTGTGTAAATGACAAATATGGCATGCAGACAATAGCTAGCTTTGTCATGCAAAAAGAACCAATGTCTGAACGCAGTTTTAATGGAATATGACTTATTCCATACCTGAATAGGACTTTAGAGTTCATCCCGAGGCCTACGTGGTTTGAAATCTGAAGCTGGAACATGTTTGTATTTACATTACCAATTAGTCTGTTCCCACTTTGGCTGGCTGGAACATTTTTTTTTATTCATTATCATTCTGATCAAATCAAGCAGATTCACACTCCCTGAGTCCTCTTATCTTTTAATTGCTTGGGGGCCCTCAGGCGACAAGAGCAAGCCTACAATTCTGCCCCGTGTCTGACACCCACACCACATGCAGACTAAAGGGTTTTACCACTATCGCACATCAGGGTGGACAGATGCAGAAATTAAGAAGCCATCATCTGGACTCTCTTTTCATTGACTAACAATGCGATGGAGGGAGAGTGCAGTGTGTTAATGTGTTTTATATGTGTGTGTCTATGCGCGTGCGCCATGCCTTTGGTCAAGAAAAAAGAAGGGAAGGTCAACGGAAAACCAGCAGAAGACAGGAGACACAAAGCTGCATTCTTCTGCACTGTTTGCACTCGTGGATGCAGGCCTTTAATTATGTTTGATGTGCCTTTTTCTCATTACCTTGTTTGCTCAAGCGTTGTGTGAACACAAAACTCAGCGAAAGATCAACCCAACCACCAGCAAAAAGCAGCAACAAGCATGACATGGGCTCATTTTGTTTGCAGCTCACTAAACGCTGCCCAATCTATGAACAAGCTCCTGTTACAATATCGCATGGGGGAAATTAAAACCAGACAGAGCCCACTTATCATCTTCTCTCTTAATTGTTAAGCGATGATAGGAAGCATTTATTACATCTTCATAGAGACAGTATCTGAAGCCAAATACCATCCCAGAACCCTGCTCTTGGGAGTGTAACAACAGTCCCCAAAGAGCATTGTTAAACTGTATCAATTACTGTGACGAGGTCTTTAATCCTAATTTACCCCACCTCTGCCACAATGGGTCCATTGAGTCCAAAGCGGTCTGCAATCATCATGTGGATCTGCCTCTGGCGGTCCTTCTTTCGGACACTCTCATAGGAGGGCAGCCTCGGCAGGGGGGCCTCCAGAGTGGGCAGGCTGTAGCTGGAGGGCAGGCCGACGTAGAACAGATCATCTGCCTGATAAGGGGCACGCAGACCACAAAGGAGAGACAGGAAACAGCTATTTTAATGTACTGAGGATGGAGATAAGTCCAAACAAACCCCATCAGTGACAGCCGCAGCGAAGAGAAACACATGGAAACTTTCAATCAAGGACCAAAAGCACAAAACGGATGTCTTTCCTGGCTTAAAGCAGGGGCCACCAATCCACTTCAGGGTATGCTCACCTGAGCGTTGCCGTTATTGATGCTCTGTGTCTGCTCAGAACAAGGGGATCCCACCAGGGCCTGCCTGCTGCTGTAGTACTGAGGGGGAGCATCCTGTAACACAAACAGCCCGAAGTTCAGACGGTGAGACTATTGAATAAACTGTTCCACACAGACCTATCAGTTTATATTTTAACTGAGCGCCAAACACCAGAGGTTCATGTTTCTCCATCTGAAATTAGACTGAGATCCACTCATTTCAGCTCAATTGACCAATTTTCATGCCTTGTTTAATCCCTGTGGGCACCGGCTTGTTTAGCAGTGCCATAAATTATCTGATCAATAAGACTACCACCCTCCGATTTCCGTGCCTCCTCCCCTGGCCACCCCCCTTAAAAAACAAGGACTGACAGTGTCTCGCCGTATGAGGTGCTTGGATCCCGATAAAAGGCTGCCAGGAAAAAAACAGTTAATTGCCTTGGTCTAAATGAGTCTCCTTTGTAAGGAGAACAATGTGATGTCCAACTGTGTCATCTTGGTCCCCAGGCAACAAACCACACAGAGAGGTCTTTTCATAGGCTTTCCAGTCCCCTTGTAACTACAGCAGGTAGTTGTTAACGATCACACTCCAGCACACATTATGGCTTTGTATGTCATTTGGGAGGGCATTACAACAAAGTCAATTAGTTGCTTGACTGTAATTAAATCCATCATGAGTTAGACAAGAAATATTATCAGCAGTTACAGCTAATGCTCAAGAATCTTCCTCAGTTTTTAAAAAAATCGGATTGAATTCAATTTAAAAAAAAGAAAAAGATTCACTATCCTCTCAGGCTGGATTAAACAAGGACATCAGTCACGCTGAATATGACGTCCACTGATGGCCTTTGCCGTAACCCTCAGGACTTTTCAGGAGGAGATGGTAGACCCTTAAAAAAAAGGTGATGGCAGAGGTCACATTTCCCTCCTGGTTTGTACTTTAAAGGAGCAAAAGAACGTCCTCAGGAAAGAGAAAAAATAAAAGAGGGGTTGTCCTTTTGTCGCCCGCCATTGATTCAGCCAGTGTGAAAAAGCACAACCGTGTAAAATCAGCGCTGGAGTCGGGGGAGGATCCTAGCAGCGCCGCGCTTTTTTTTCTTCCAGCGCCACAACCTAAAGGAGCCCCATTGTCCCTGTTGTGTCCCCAACACCCACAGAGGGGTCGGCTCTCTATTCACGGGGCAAACTGAGGCAGGGCAAGGTATGTGACTATGAAGTCGAAGATGTGAAATGTCCTACGGAAACAATGAAAGAGAGTGTTTTCTCTGTGTTTCTCCAATCCAACAGAACTTTCCCTCACTGGTACTTATGAAAGCCTCTTTTTTGCCCTCTGCAACTCAATCAGTTCAATCGCTCTAAAGGGGGAAGGGGTCCTGGTCAAATGGTCTGTTTGCCCCTTAAAGAAGACAACCGATCTTTTCTAACAAAACCACAGGGGCAGAGCTTCCTGTCTGTTAAAATGAGGGAGGCTCTCTGGAGGAGTTGTCCCTGCAGTTCAAAGATAACATAACATACTACACCCCTGGGACTGATGGAGGTGAGAGCGAAAAGTCAGGAAAGGGAAGTTAAAAGAATGGACAAACGAATGAGCAGTTCATTTCAACAAACTATTTGCATTTCCTCTTCCAAGTCTTCCTGCACCAGCTTCACAGATAGAGGAATATTATCTTCAGTGGATGGACAAGATAAGATGTTGGAGGTGTGAAATCTATAAAAATTTGATTAATAATGTCACACACACACATAGTGCAAAGATCTAGAAGATTAGTCTGTGTTGTTTCACGCACAGAGCCAGTGTTGGAGGAAAAATGCGATTTGGTCTGATTTAATTACAGCGGTGCTGAACTTGCATCAATATGCGTGGTAAGTGCTAATTCTGTCCAATTCCATTAGAGTTTCTGGAGGGCAGCTAATTCAAACTGAGGCGAATCCATTGCCACACAATGATCATATCAAGTTTACTCAAGTCCTTTTGCAACAGCCAAGCAAATTCCCTCTGACACTTCTCCGTGGCGCTGCACATGAACCTCTCGGTGTGGTCTCAAGTGCTGTGCCGCAGAACTGAACGTACGGATCACATCTAAGAGACAAGTCAGCACAAAAGCTGCTTTCATCCTGTTGTTGTTGCTAACAGCTCACCGTATCTGCATGTGGCTCCTGATAGGAGGGGTGCTTGCAGCACTGTGGATCCTTGCGGTAAATAATGGATAGCAGCACCACAATAACCACAAAGAACACCAGAGAAGAAACTGTTTGAAATGAGAAGAGAAGGAAAGTCACAGTTAATCAGACATGGCATATGTAGAGCTACTTGTTTGGTTTAGGTTTAAATCTGTTCACTTTCACAGGTCAAGAATTTGAACACTTTTATCAACTTCTTACTGTTCACCTTTAAGTCAAGAACAACTGTTTGAAAAAGATCAGGTTCTTCTGAACTTTGGAGTGCTGGCAGCCAGATTGGATGCTCTTACACCAAGTGTGAAAGATGATGTGAAAACATTGGGGTATTACCATCTCACATCATAACAAAAAATACAAACAACAATGCTGTCTGAGAGTAAAAAGATCTGTCTCACATTCCTATTTGCTTAGTAGAAATAGCAACAAGTAAACGTCCCACTGTTTGTGACAGGTTTCATGGTTTACTCACAGGACGCAGCCACCACTATGACCTGTTCCGACGTCAGCTGCGAGGGGGGAATGGTCGGACCGGCAGTTGTGGACATCTCCTTTGTGTAAACCGTAAAAGTTCCTTTCAAAAATCCTCCAGAATCCCCGAGCCGAAAGTTTCTCATCTTCCGCATCAGAGAGAGATGGGAGCGCTCCTCTTCATGGCGCGCTCGCTCTGGGACATGATGACAAGTCCACATGCGCTCTGGAAGTGGGACCTCAAACTCTCCCCGCTGGATGGACGTGCCAACGTCCTCTCCAGAGCGCGTGACGTCGCTCCCGGCTCCCCCGGGGGGGCCCGCATTTTTTTTTTTTTTTTTTTTGCTTTATGGACTCAACACTGGCAGCTCCCGCACGGGCCAGCCAAGTTATTACCCGGGCTAATTGACATGGATTTTTCTAGAGGTCCTCTTTGTGGGCGGACGAAATCACCGACAGGGCTCATAAAACAGCTATTTCTGTCTCGGTGTGTTCCCTAGACGCGTATGACAAGCGCTCGCCCTCAGCTGCTTAATAAATAGCATCCAGAGTTGTAGTTTAACACAGAGATGCCTAAGCCGGACACCCGTCACCCTGGAGACGGTGTGGGTCTCAACTTGAGAGGATTTGTTTGAAGACAATGACACATAAATGTAGCGTTAGTACTCATGGTTTGGGAAATATGACCTGCATCTACTTAAACTACCCCATAATGTGGTCAAATGTAAGACAGGTTTATTCAGAAAATAGGCTTCTTCCCCTATTCTGTCAGACTGATGTCCTCCCTGTCAGATCTTTTTGTATGCAGTCCATGTATTTGGCTTTTACCCAAACTCCCTTAATTTGATGAGACAGCAAGGAGAGTTTGCTTATGTATTCTGTGTATTATGCATCTTTAAAGGTGAATAAAGCTCCAAACTCCAGCACAAGAAGGATCAGGAGGATCAGGGGATGCATCTCCTTTTTAAATAGATGTATAACTGGAGTCGTGACAGAACAAAAATTCAAAGCAGAAAATGAAATACTCTAATGCAACTTTATCAAGCTTTATTGGTGGTGAGCTGAGGGAAGAAATCATGTTTAAGTTGAGGGGATTTTTGTAATTCTAAGTCAGAGAAGGCTTGTAACTTCATATCGATTAGCTCTTGCAGCAAAATTGCAGCAAAAAGATCAGGAAAAGAGCTAAAGTTTTCAGCATTTCTGTTATATCTTACAACATAATAACATTAAATTCCAGTCATAAATTTTAGAATGGCCCTGTCCTGAAGGCAGTCTACTGCAGTATCACGAACAGCCTGTTATTTCCGTGAAAACACAGATTTAAAGAAATAATACCGCTGGGAGGACTGACATTTTCACTTATGTTGCATGACCTTGGGAATTGGAAAATTATTACTCAGTTGGAGAAGCTAACTGAGCTTCACAAATCCTAAGTACTCACTGTTATAAGACCACTAACTCAAGATGAGTTAAAGGGGAGACACCTAACTTACTGAGCAGCAACTAAATTGATAAAAGGGTGAAGGAGGACTCTTTTTTTTCTTTGAGACATGGCTGCAGGAAGAAGTCTTTACAAGGCCCTTACGCATTTACACAGTTTTGAGACTATATGGCCAGATCGAGTTCACTGAGAAAAGGGCTCTTAATATAAGCTGTAGATGTAACACAACTTTCTCTCTGCTCCAGTTTGTTGGATTGTAGCCAGTTCTCCAACAATGGTGTTTGTTAATGGTACAATTTCACCCTGGAGATTAATAGGCTATAGTATTGTTTGATTGAGCATAATAACAGAATATTTATCTATCTATCTATCTATCTATCTATCTATCTATCTATCTATCTATCTA